TTTAATACATCAATGGGTTGAGCCTGTGAGCTCACCTATCGGTCCGCGCGTAATTGGAATAACTCCTTGGGCTACCACCGATTAGCTAGGAGATAATCAAATAAAGCCACTAAAATTCAATAAAATAAAACCCATTATAATGATTACTTCAACTATATTTATGCTCTTCTGGGGACTTATCAAATTATATAATATATTAACATTTCATATCTAAACATACCTACTATATAATTTGGAATGACGTACTTACTGTATACTTTTTGTAAATATAATAATATTTTATAATTTCAAATCTACTACAGTTTTGTTAATTTATTATAGTTGATAGTTAGGCATGTTGAACTATGATACAACAATGAATGTACTTAATTATAGTGTATGGATATCGAAAGAAATTTTATAAAATATGTGTGCCAACTTGTGACAAAATCAATTTTCCATGATCACACAAATGTATAAATATATAATGAAAAGACAAAGTACATAATCTTTATTCTATCCAAAATTTAACTAGTACATTTTTATTTCTATTTCTGTATATTTCTTCAATTTGTGTCTAATCTATATAAACTTATAAGGGGTGTTGCTACATTACATGGGTAAGTTACATCTACCAATATTTAAATTGGTTAAAGATTTCAAAAAACCAAACATTTAATTAAATATGGATAGGTATCCCTTTATTCATAAAAATGATCAGATAATTTTAAACCATAATAGAAAACATTTACGTATGTATAAATAAAGTATTTTTAATACATCATATTTTCTTCACAATAAAAAATTGAAATGTCGGATTTAATACGAAATTAATTAAATACGAAATCATCATAATTGACGAATAATAATAATACTAATACATTTTTAAATTAAGTATTATAATAATATACATATATGTACAACACTAAAGCACCGAAGTAAAAAAATAACCTAAAAATTAAACTATTATACTTTATACAGAGATCAAAACTACAACGTAATTAATAAAAAAAACATGAAAAATTAATTCATGATTTACCTACGTTTCTATATTCAAATAACATCATTTAACACTTTCTATCTATTTTACAGTTTAATATTTGCTTTTTTTTCTAAACAGAGCTGCAGAGAATGATCTTGAAGTCAAAGCAGTATTAGCAAAATATCTCGACATTAAACTAAAATATATATTCACGACATTTGCCATGTAAATGTTTCCCGAGCCTGTAATGTAAAGTGAACAAAACGTCGAGGGCCAATAACCGCACCCGCATTTCTGAAGAACCGATTGATGATGATTTCTTTCTAGAAGACAACCGCCACTGTATTGGGTACAAGAGCAGTCCTTCTGCTTTTTTGCTCTTGAAATCGACGATTCGTCTACCCTATCCCGGTTTACTATACGATTATAATTTTAAACTCGTTATGATTAATGTTTTTGGTTAGAAAAGAACTTTCTCGTAGATCGTCGCGTTTTTGTAGATGATTCTATTAAATAATAAATAACTTACGCATTTCGAAGAGCGTAACTATTAAAATGAAAAATAATAATAAAATCTAATTATTAAAAAAAAAAAAACATTATTGACGCCCTGTTACTTAAAATATATATATTTACACCATAGGTGACGCCCTCACTTTTTTGGGCGAATATTAAAACGGGGCTCCGCTCATCACTATCGAAATACCGAGATAAGTTTTTGACCCCCATGGAAAACCTTGTACCAAAATAAATTTATGCTATCGATGTCATTGCATTTCACAGTTCCCGTTTATAATAGATTACATGCTTAATGATGGGCTCAATATTAGTTGATGAACAAACTAGAACCGTAAGGAATTATAATACTTCCGCAAAGATTTGACAAACTAGTCGTTTATCTAAAGCCGATGTCGATACGTGACGTATTTAATATTATTAATAGGAAACATTCAAACTATTGGCGCCAACATTTTTGTTTACAAATATTGTTTTAAAAATGCATCCGATCAAAATGTTAAATAATACGCTTATTGTACGTTTAGACTCGAACTTAATATTAATTGTAAATATGAAAGAAAATTTCGAAAACCGCTTTCGATTTAATACTAAAATCTTAGGAATTATGTACCTATTCTTTGACATATTGGCGGGAATCACGATTTTACATTTGAAGTTCGCTTGACGTTTCAACACTTTGGACTTTTAGTAAAGTAAAATCCAGTAATAAAACTGTCTTTACCTCCTGACAGTCGAGTTTTGTGATATTATCTAGACAGTATTTTTACTGGTTCTTTGTAAAATACTGTTCTTGACTGAAATTTCTTTTGCTATTATACTTTAAATTTGTTCAGTTATGGATTAGTTTAGTACGGTAAACCCCACAATGTTTGGCATTCTAGTGTTTTAGTAAAATATTTTTATGAAACTTCCGTTAAGTTTAGAATGCCTAGAACTCTAAAGAATCCCTCTCATTTCGGGCCGTATTGTCTCCCCATGGGAACCGGACGAGAGTTACGTGCGATGAGGTATTTAGTGTGGTTCGATTCGCACGCCGCTACTCTTACCACTCCCAAAGAAAGCTGCCGTGCGCCGATATCACGAAAATCAAACAAGTAATACATCCACAGCGGAAACTTCAAGTTTTAATAAAATGATAAAATCTTTTAAATTCCTTTCAATGTCAATAAGCTTAACGTAAAATGTACGAAATTAAAATTAATACACACTAACTAGGTAGGAATTCATACCCGATTGCGCATGGTCTTAATTGAAAATAAAAGTTTAGGTTAAAACCGTAGTGATCTATCTATTATTTTGAAGCTTATAGTGCAATGATTTTGAACAATGTTAGATTCCTGAACTACATCTATCAGATACAGTCTAACACTGAAAGTTATCTTCTAAACCTACTAAAATTACTTAAGATTTAATATATTTAACTTGGCAACATTATACTACACGCAAAATTTTAGAAGTTCTTTTAAGAAAGCTGGCAGCACTGCAACTTATTGATTAACTAAATACCCCCCACCCTATAGACATCCAGCGGCCACAAATATCGTCGGTAAGGGTGTATCATACAGCAGCTCACATTCACAAAGCAGAATATATTGACAAACAGCTGTTACCCGTATTGTCTACATTTCACAAGGTCCACAGCATCCCATTGCGATAAACAGAGACAGCTAACATCATTTAAACATCAAATCACATTTATAGATTTTGCTGGCAAACAATTTTGATTCCCTATCGAGTAAGTTACTTAGGTTATGTATTATTAAGTACCTACCAAGAATAATTGCTACGATCGAATGATGATATTTAGCCAATATGCCAAACGTAAAGAAAACTATCTATCTATCTATCTCTTAGGTTTATGGCGTTTCCTTATAGATTTCGCCAATGTCAAGTGTATATAATACTCTGCTTTCTATAGCGGGCTTCGTGAACGAGCAAGGTCACAGATATTCACTAAGAATTAAGTGAGTAGCTAAGAATGTTTGATGACAGGATCTCTGTTGATTTACCTAAAACAAATTAATACAAAGAAAACTAAATGTGATTTAACGCTTATAAATGTCAGTTGTCAGAGCAATGTCAGCTGTCAGACAATACAGCCACTGCGCCACAACGCTATGCGTCGTGTGTCCGTCATAGTACTATTATAGAAATTTATTTTTATATAATACAGTTTTTTTTTATCACAGTGGGAAATTACCTACGAGGATTCATAACGAGCCTATCTATATAATTAACGAGAGAGGAAAATGTAATTGTTTACAGCGACTGAACGTCAATAACGATTTAAATCTAAATAATTATGCAATTATGAATCTATACTAATATTATAAAGAGGAAAGATTTGTTTGTTTGTTTGTTTCGAATAGGCTCCGAAACTACTGGACCGATTTGAAAAATTCTTTTTCTATTAGATGCCGACATTGTCCCTGATGAACATAGGCTACTTTTTTAAAAAAATTTTTTTGTTTTTTGTTTCATGTGTGTTTTTTATGTTTCCGAAGCGAAGCGAGGGCGGGTCGCTAGTATATTATAATATAAAATACAAGACATCAATATAGATAAAGAGACGAATTCTAATGGTAATTGTAAGTTTTAATTGCCGTTGTCCATCCTCTCCTCGTAGCATTGAAATAAAATAAATGCCGTCTAATTTAAGATACGAAGTTAAATTCTCGAGAGGATCGGTGATTCTTGAAGCTACATTATCTAAGGCAAAAGGAATATAAAATCGCATTAACGGGTCCAAGAGAGACGCGTCACCGCGGTTTAGTTCGCACCGAGTTCTGTTTAGTGCTGGTGATGTCCGCCCAACTATCGAGTAGACGTCACAAAGTCTAAATGTAACCGGGTTTTGGGTTAATTTGTTTAGTGTCGACACTTAGCAGCCTCACTCGTGACGGAATGATAATAACCCTACCTACACCGTCACACATTTAACCGGTACACATCTAGTTTTTAATGACCACGATAAATGAACAGGTCACGTAAAATTGGTAATAGATTGTTTACTGTTCAACAAATTCCGTGACTCTAAATAGGCCCGTGAGTAACAGACTTTCACAAAAGCAGGGTCTATGCCGTTGGCGGAACCTATGTAGCTGCCCAAGGACCATCGCAGTCCGACTGGTTTTGTCTCATAAAAGACAAATAAAAGAAAAAACAGATGATCATCAATGAAAACGAAGACAGGAACTGTTCACAAATAAGGAAGTTTAGCTTCGAAATCTCACGTCAGACGACAGCGTATTGAACAATGACGTCACTGTTCATACTCGCCCCATTAGTTCTATAACGAAATTCGGTTTGCATGAAAAAACGTAAGTGAGTTAAAAATATTTCTGTAATACAGTTTTATATTTAATTATTTCATTCCTTGAGCTTATTAATTCACATTAATTCCTGAACTACTCTATTATTGCGTTTCTTCTATGGGATGTGTCATATTAACTAAAATATAACGGTAGTTGCGTCCCTTTCACTCCTGTTGAAATCTCACAAACGTAAAAGGGAGTTTAGAGATACCACCTGATGTCAATCCTGCTTGTGTTTATAGTCGTATACTCTCTATGTTGTCCGGTAGATGTTTCTAATAAATTGGCCGTAGTACTAATTATTGTGTGGATTGTGCAATCAACAGAAAAATAATAATATATAACTCATATCATACTGGTTATGTGGAAAGTATATCTTGAAGCGACAAGAGCAGTTCTATTAGTGATGGCACAGCACCAACACACGGATGGCGGCAGTTCGCGGCAGAACGCGGTAGCGCCAGTCACCCCCACAGAGCAGGACAGACACACTTGTTGAATCCATTTGTTACCTAATTTCATTCTCGTCGCTTTTAAAGTTCGGTTTTGTCTTGTGACTCCTGCCGCACCTTTTCTAGAGTGGGCTTGATAGTTTCCAAAACCTTCATCAGGGCTTGCTCGGTCTGTTGGCGAGGAAACACAGTTACTACACGCACACACACATTCACGTGTTTTATGCTTGTTTTTGTATGTGTTTGTATTTCGTTTATGTTTCAATGTAAATCTACTGTTATTTTCTCTGTATAAGTAATTGGTTGACTGGTAAATAATGGCTGAAGCATCAACGTATACACAAAATTTCAATCAAAAAATAAATAAAAATAATAAAACTGCTCAAGTGTAAATTAATTTGAATGATATTAGTGATATTCTAAGTCGATAGTTACTAGACAGGAATGTATTATGATATTAAAGCAATTGAATGAAGAGCTATGAGCAGCGCGCGGGGGACCGTGCGAGGACATAGTATGGGTGGGGACCGTGCGAGGACATAGTGCGAGAGGGGCACCGTGCGTAGACATAGTGCGGGTGGGGTATCGTGCTAGGACATAGTGCGGGTGAGGGACTGTGAGAGGACATAGTGCGGGTGTGGGACCGTCTGAAGACATAGTGCGGGTGGGGACCGTGCGTAGATATAGTGTGAGTGGGGTATCGTGCGAGGACATAGTGCGGGTTGGGGACCGTTCGAGGACATTATGCGGGTGGGGACCGTGCGAGAGCATAGTGCGGGTGGGGACCGTGCGTAGATATAGTGTGAGTGGGGTATCGTGCGAGGACATAGTGCGGGTTGGGGACCGTTCGAGGACATTATGCGGGTGAGGCGTACCTGCGCGAGAGAGTGTGCGGCGCGGTGCAGCGCGCGCGCCCAGGCCCGCAGCTGGTGGCGCTGCGCCGCCGCCTGGCGCTCCGCTGCCCCCTCCGCTCTGCAACATTACCCGCAGCCCCTCATTCGGGTGTACCGATCACCTAACCCATCGAAGAAGGTCCGAAGAGTCGAAGTGCAGGCCAGCAAGTAGTACTACTATGGGTTGTCAGGTAAACGCAGCTTCGAGACACAGGCTGTAAGTTCAATAAGGTATCCTCCCTGCCTGACGCCACTCTCACGGCGTTCTGACCCGGGCACATGCCCCGATGGCTGTACGGTAGCTTGGCGACTGGTCCTATTCGGCGCGACCATGACATGTTCGTGGCTTAAAGTTGTATGTCGACGTAAGTTTACCTTATCGTGTTCATTACAGAATGTATATATTAGACTGGCGCGTAATGGACAAATATCGCCATCTGTCTTGCGCAGTGGCTTTTTTACTAATGATGACGTCAGAAACGGCAACGTATACCCTTATGTCAATGGTCATAGCCTTCTTATGTGTTAAACTCTCCAGATGCTATCCTGTTTTAGACGTATGGTGACATACTATTTTACGACTATTATTATTGTTACTTTAGTATTAGTCTTAATAAGTTAGTTGTACCTGTCTTGGAAGTGATGAACGCCGATGGTTTGTGTAGTATCGGTGTGGTAGAGTCTCCAGTACAGCAATGCATTGAGGAGCAGCAGCAGCAGCAGGGCCACCAGTGGCCAGCGGGGGGCAGGCGGGGCGCGGGGAGGAGACGGCGCCCGAGGGGGGACCGATAATGCGGGGGGAACCGATACTGCGGGACCAAGAGAGGGCCATTAACATTACACACCAAATTAGTTTTAGGTTACCACCAGCGCCGGGGCCGTGGCACAGAACGTTTAGTTATGAGATCTGCCGTATCTTTATAAGTTTTAAAGCTTTGCGGAAGTAGGGGGGACAGTGGCAGCGCCCACGTTAAGTTTTATATTAACTACGCTTGGCTTTTATCAATACTGTTACCTCTCGTCGAAGAAGTCTTAGGAACTAAGGACGTATTAAGCTGTTATGTTCCGACATTTTCTCACCTGCCCGATTATCAGTCTTACCACTATATATTGTAGAGTTACCTGCATAGCTCCCGGTGGCCCGCCGGTGTCTCCTGGCCTTCCTGGTGGCGGGGGCCGCGTTCTCCGCCTCAGCGTTGAGTCGCGCCTCGAGCAGCCTACTAAATTCGTCCAGGCCCGCCATGGTGCTCTTCTCCATGACCGCTGCAGACAGCAAGGCGCAGCATTAGAGGGGGATACGTGCAAGCAGCGCATGAGGGGAGGGGGGGGGATCGTACCCTTGACGAGGGGCCACATGGAGCGGCGGTAGCGCAGCGTTGCGTAGAGCGCGAGGTGCGTGGCGCAGTCGGCGGCGCGGCGCAGGCAGTAGTGCACAATCACCGTCACGTGGTCGGCGTACGGGATGCCGGAGTTCTCGCTCTGGCACTCGATGGAGTACACCACGCCCGGCTTCGAGCACTTGTTCATCACCTGCAATGCGTGCGTGAACGTACAGACCAATTCTTTGGCGATTCATTCATTCACTCATATATGAATGAATCATTCAGTCATATATAGGCATAGGCAGGAATATATGAATGAATGAATGATTCATTCACATATGCCTTTACACAAATACGAGTATACAAAACTTTGCTATTTTATTTATGTTTTAAGTTAATCTATAAAACCTTCACTGATGGAGCGCAGAAGTGTTGAGTTCTCCACATCCCTAAGACCACACCATAGTACACAATAAATGTAACCTCAGGGCTAGGGCCGCAACAGTGGAATGCTCACCTGGGTCTCCGTGACCTGCACCTCCTTGGGCCCGATGGGTCCGGTGGACAGGCTCAGCTTGTAGCTGGTCTGTCGGAACTTACGCCCATTTTGCACTTGCCACGGAGACTGCGAAACGAAGCGACATGCTATTATATGCTTCTTACTCACTTTGATTCGAAGCATTCGGCCCTTCTGATCCCGCGAGCGGCTACTGTTGTCTAGGGACACCAGCTACCCACCACTTGGGGGGGAGGGGTGTATTAATACCAGAGTAGGAAGGTACCACGCCGGGGGCATGACGTGTTTCCGGTGCGGGAGGACGTGAGAATGTTAGAATCGTTTCAGAAGTCTTCTCCAAGCCTCGGATCCTACTGCACAATATAGTTGCTTCGTAGATTCAGAAGCGAACCAACAGGACCTGAAGTGGATCCAGAGCGGAGCATTCTAAAACATCACTGAAGCGATGTCATGTGCTATTTTCAGTATTCTCAATATTAAAAAAATACGTAATGCTAAATATGTTCACGGATGCTCACAGAATCAAAGACAGGGTCGACAGTCGAACATTAATATCTAGCGAATCAGTGGTTACCTCGACGTAGTCCGACGTCCCTCTCTCGGCGAGTAGCTCCAGTTGAAACTTGGAGTTTGTGAAGATCATGGTGAAGAGCGTGTCGATGTTAAAAGGGAACTTGCCGCTCAGGATCAGCTTACCGTCATGGGGGTCCGTGCACTGTTCCATTTCCGCGCCGCTGTGGAAATGTTCACTTGTACCATCGCATGATGTTACAAGCTGTGGTGTATAGGCAGAAATGGGGCTGATCCCTCGACCCCCCTCCCCCCGTATTCGTTTCCCAAGCCTCAGTTTCGTTGTAATAACGTCCGCCCCGTAAACCACATCGTGGTAGATGGCGGCGGCCTTCTCCGCGCGGTCTTCGTTCCCATTGGACGGGTGCGAATATATTGCAGCGGACTCAACAAAAAATTAGCCGCCAATCGTCAGCCCTTAGAGACTCTGTGGCAATCTTAACTGGAGTTCTCACCCGCGTTGTACAATTCAATTGAGACTTCGATTTCAAAATGGGTGGCGGCTTTCACGTTCGGTTGCCCATGTGCTCCAATGACCACTTAAAATTAGGTGAACAGTGAGGTAGTATCCCATACGAGTTTAAGAAAAACCTTATTATTCAAGTTTTTTATTGTTCTTGTGCCAGATTAGCTGTATAGACACTTCTCATTGAGACTTCATTCGGTTTATATAAGCCTAGGTGTTTCTCTTCGGAGTGGCCCCACTGGTTCGTTAAGGAGGGAACAACTGGAAGAGTTTCACAAAGCGGCCGATTACATTACGGGTCTGTGTACGCACTTGTTGGGTTTGTCGGGCTCGCTCTCGCTGGTGTCCGACATGTCCGTGGGGAGGGCGTCCCCCTCGTCCCTCTCCTCCGCGTCCCCGTTCGTCACTGCAACAATTCCCCACGTCGACCACGTTTAGCCAAGTATTAAAAACTTACACTTTATTAATCTATACTATATGTAACCCGGCAAAGCAAAAGCAGGAAAAAGGAAGAGAGGCCGTCTCAGAACAACTTGGCGTCGCTCAGTAGAGCAGGAACTGGGCACCTTGGTAGTTTGTGCGGCATTGCAACGCTAAACGCATTACTGCTTCACGATCTTACATACTAAATGGATCTGTAAATCTGGTAGTTTATGTGTGGACATGGAGTGACACAAGCGTCTATATATCCGGAGTGAGCAAAGTGTTTCAATATTTCTAAATTACAAACAACGTCTAGTGGTAAATTTAATTCGAATACCCCGATAAAACTACAATTAGATATTTTTTGTTGAATAAATAAATTTATATAGTAGTTCATAAAAGTTGTAAACGTTTTGGTACAGATTATTCAAATTGATGTGTGTAATCTGTGCAACTGTGCGAATGTAGACTGATGTGACTTGAGAGCTAATATAATTCATTGTGTCCTTTATAAGAAATCTGATTAGAGTTTTATTGAAATTCCAATATTTTTACTGCTTCAGATGCGATGACCTCACGCCCCATGGACTTGACCACGTGGAGTTACAAATTATATCGTTACTGGTGTCAAATCAGTATTGTATAGCGATGGCAGGGAGCCACATCTATTACCGTAAAGAGCGGGAATGGCTTCTTCTATTCCCTCAACGACGAAATCCTCATAAATAAAATCCATTTCTAATAGTTTCCAACATAAAATCATTAAATTCTTCGGCAATTTATCGACAATAGGCACACGAACTGGTAAACTAATGATTTGATCCTTTCACATTCGAATCGTCCTATATATAAAGTATAGAAGCGATTCTTGCACAATCCGTCTCCGACCTGGTGCTCCTCAAGTCGTGATGTGAAGCTACTTCACTTCACTTGGCCTGCGAGGGCAGAGACCACAAGCGCCTCCGACAACGTATGCAAACGATAACTTATGCTTCTCTCGTAACATCGGCCCAACTTTGTTACAGCACAGATTATAATCTTTCGTTCGCTCCCCGAGCTTTTGGTAGAAGCTCAGAATGTCATGTTTCGCACTGGCAGAGCTGCCCGGGGACATCGGAACGCCCATCGGTCGCGACACGAGCGTCACATGTCCCGTGCTACCGACAACTAGGAGCATTTGGGCACAAGATCCCTTTGAAGACAACAATTTATTGTTTCGAGTAATTAAGTATAGTTTATCGCTTGCCGGAAGCGGATAAGATTGGACTACAATTTGCAAGTGAACGAGCCCGGCTCGTGCTGGACCACGCTGGAACACCGGCTCAGTGGGAGATCTTTGTCGAGAAGTTATTGATATTCCACATTTGTATCCTTATATCTATATATTAATACGTGAAGCAAAAACTTTGTACCCCTTTTTACGAAAATTGCGCGGATGGAGATTTCCCAATAGAGAATATAGAGAAGGAGTGCAGAATGTTATTTTTTTTTAATTATGCATAAAAAATACATTAAATCAATTAAAACAAAACACACACACGTTACATTTCACACTTACGCATACATAATTTTAATTAATTATAGTCGACTCTCGACTAATGGGGGACCACTAGTATGTTTTTTATTTATTTATATTTTTCTGCATAGATAGGTGGACGAGTTCACGGCACACCTGGTTTTAAGTGGTTACCGGAGCCCACACATCTACAACATAAATGCGCCACCCACCTTGAGATATGAGTTCTAGTCTCAGTATAGTTACAACAGCTGCCCTTCAAACCGAAACGCATTACTGCTTCACGGCAGAAATAGGCAGGATGGTGGTACCTACCCGTGCGGACTCACAAGACGTCCTACCACCAGTATAAATGAATAATGTATAAAATTAATATGTTACGGGTGGTAGGGCATGTTGCAAGCTGCCGCCGTCGGGCCTAGCTCTGCAATATCTATACGAGATAAGGACGCTGTACACGACACGTCCTCCCACTCGTGCAGCTAGCGCAGGGAACTCACCCAGCGGCGGTGAGGAGTCCCGTCCGCGCGACGCCGACCTGCTGCTCTTGTTGTCTCCTCTGCCGTCTCCGCCTCCGCTCGCGTCCATGGAAGACGAGTCCAACAACTCCTGTGTACAAACACAACCAGGGTCGGATTTAAACTTATTGCCGCTCCTGGGCACCGGAAGAAAATCCGCCCCAATACTGATACATAAAACTTATAGTTTATATATTTTCTTCTTCAACTTTACTAGAAACTTTATTAAATATATGTTATATATTCCAAAAACATAAATAATTATATATGTGTTTTTTTTAACAATTATAAATTTGACACTAGGGCTGACTCAAGTCTAATTCTGGTAAATACAAAAATCGATTATTTTTTTATGTCTCCAAGGAAATTAATTGATTAAATCATTTTGATTATTAATTTTACCAAAAAGTGCCAAAATTATAATTCACAAATAATGGATTCATTGAATTTCTTGCATTATCAATTACACAGAATATTATTAAATTTAGAATTAATTAATTACATAGAGCAACCTTGAGAGGAAAACAATTTTTTTAGAAAAAAAAAAAAACACTTTCAAAAATTTGCCGCCCTGGGCACTTGCCCCGACTGCCCCTAGTGTCAATTCACCAGTTTCACCACTGAACTCAACGACCATTCATACATATACTATTTAGATAAATCTATAGCAACATTGTTTGGCGGTTGTAGTACGCGCCGCGGTGTGATTACGTTTTGGTCATTATCGCTTCCGTTTCATAACAGGGCGGTTTGTTCTCGATACTGGGAGATCGGAGCGCGCATTTTTTTTGAAGATTGCCGATTTACGTTGACGCATCGAAGCGGTTCCTAAATCGACTAAGACATTAGCCTCCACTTTTTATTTAATGATTTATTACACAGTACACTTAATAATAATAATACATTTATTTTTATTTATTTAACTAGCTGACCCGGCAGACTTCGTAGTCAATCGATAAATAAAAGACAAAAGGAATCCGTCCGATGGGGGACACATCAAAGGACAAACAAAATTGTTATTTTTATTAAATTCCGAGCATTTTCATAATTATCTACCTTTTAAACCTTCTCTGGACTTCCACAAATAATTCAAGACCAAAATTAGCCAAATCGGTCCAGCCGTTCTCGAGTTTTAGCGAGACTAACGAACAGCAATTCATTTTTATATATATAGATTTCAAGTAAATTGGGTAAAATAGTGGGGGTATCATGTCTTTACCGCGTGAATATTTTCCCTAATCTCAATGTATTAGAAGTAGCTACTCTTGTACTGTACAATTATTTTATTTACCCAGAATCGACCCACATTTCTCATTTATTAATTACATTACATAAGTACGTCATGTATTTTACAAACACGACAACGTTGGACAGATGTATAGAATTACGACAAAACAATTTTATGGTAATATAACGCGAGCGTCCCTATAACGGGAACGTTAAGATATTCCATACTTTTTGTGCTATTCACTTTATTTATTTATTGTTTACTTGCTGACCCGGCAGACTTCGTAGTGCCTCAATCGATAAATAAAAGACCTAAACTTTTGTATAAAATAAACTTTAAACAAAGAAAAGAAACTGGAATTCCGACGGGGGACACATCAAAGGCAAAGCAAAATCGTTATTTTTATTTAATACCGAGCATATTCATCTACCTTTTAAACCTTATCTGGACTTCCACAAATAATTCAAGACTAAAATTAGGCAAATAGGTCCAGCCGTTCTCGAGTTTTACCGAGACTAACGAACAGCAATTCATTTATATATATATATATAGATAAATAGATAGATAGAAGATAGATATGGTTGGATGAGCTCACGGCTCTGTGGTTAGTTAAGTGGTTACCGGAGCTCATAGACATCTACAACGTTAATGCCGCCACCCACCTCGAGACATGTGTTGTAGTCTCAGTTTTAACAGTACAACGGCTGCCCACCCTTCAAATCGAAACACTTACTGCTTCACGGCAGAAATAGGCAAGGTAGTGGTACGTACCCGTGCGGACTCGCAAGACGTCCTACCATCAGTATAAAAGTAACTGGTAGCCTAAAGGACTATAACAGACACGCGCAGTCGGGTAGGTGAGCTCACGGGCTCAACCTGAGAGAATTTGCTAACACTAGTCCTAGCCAGCGCAGTGCTTCGAAGAATCTACCACCGGATCGAAATCGCGACCCACTGAGAATATCCGGCGAAAAACACAATGGGCTATACATTAAATTGTAACAATCAAGGGTTTATAATTCCAAAGTAAACTTACATTTTTCTTCGATTTTCGTTTGATTATAACCATGCTTACTTAGGTACACGAAATGCAGCCGATAAATTGATAACGCACTTATCATATCAAACGGAGCGTTCACTCGATAACAATACGTTTGTAGTCTTCAGCGTATTGCGACGCGAGTATAAGTAAATAATCTTCATTTGTATAATGACAATTGGAAAACCAGAGAACTTCAACAAACGATCGAGAAACGACCGCTTGGATTGCGATCAAAGTGCATTTTTTAGTAATTTACTATAATTAGGTATACAAATAAAAGTCTGGACGATCGATATAAATTGTAGTCTCATTATTAAAAACAATAGGTCTTTTTTTCCTTCAAATACACCCCCTTGTAAACGTTTTTAAATCGCTTATTTTAAAACCGAATTTAATTTCAAGATTAACACGAGCAGAACCGCGTCGCACCACTGATTGTTTTCAAAAACCTGCAGACTTTTTAATAAATTTTATTGTAACTGCGAACAAACGCAAACACATCTGATGAAGCGGATCTTGGGAGACTGTAATTCAAATATTAAATCGCACAATCGTTACAGTATTCTTATTGTCAAGTAAAATGTATTTAAATTTGTTTTCGGCTGCGCTCAGTGCGTCGCCGCGCGCGCCACCGCGCTGAGCAAATACTCAATATGACATTTATACGATACGAAGGTTACAATTGTTCATAGATTAGTCAAACTATAACATATATAACAAGATAAGCCAAACTACAAATAGAACGAGGTAATTGATAAACAAAATACGTATGTGGAGTTTGTATTGTTTTGTTGCCGGTGTATGTGATGAGATATTAGAACTGACATGATGTTGAGTGATCATTGAGAGATCACTGTTCAACGTTCTCGTCGAACCCGTCGCTGCGACGAAGGGCTCGGCGAATAAATTAACCCACAGACACAGCCCACTAAGTTTCTCGCTGGTTCTTCGCAGTGGGTCGCGTTTCCGATTCGGAGGTAGATTCTGCGGAGCATTGCTCTTGCTAGGACCAGTGTTAGCAACGTCCTCTGGTTAGAGCCCCGTGAGCTCACCTACACGCCCGGTTTCGCTGGCTTAACCCTCTTAGGTTATCAGCTTAGGGCCCATAGACAACCTCGCAAACGCCGCTCACCATAAGACGCTACGGCATCGTCTTCGTTGGTCAACTGCACGTTGACCACGACAGCATTGGATCCGAGTTTGATCCTTGTTCGAATTCAATGTTTTTGTAAAAGACCTTTGGTATTAAGGGTCTCGGGGTATTACTAGAAAGCAATCAGGGCTTTGGGTTTATTTTTTATGTTTTTTATTGCTTAGATGGTTGGACGAGCTCACAGCCCTCCGGGTGTTAAGTGGTTACTGGAGTCCATAGACATCTACAACGAAAATGCGCAACCCATCTTGAGATATAAGTTTCAAGATTTCAGTATAGTTACAACGGCTGCCCCACCCTTCAAACCGAAACGCATTACTGCTTCACGGCAGAAACAGGCGGGGCGGTGGTACCTACCCGTGCGGACTCACAAGAGGTCCTACCACCTAGTGGCGCAATAGCTGAATTAAGTTGAACGACGGTACCGATTTGTGCCGGCCTATAACACATTTATTTCAACAATCGAGATAGATTTTATAGGGAAGACAAAAGGAAGTTTAATAGTCAAGGTGATTTTATTTTTTTAATATAAAAAAACTGTATTACTTTGAGGATCGGGTCGGGGGCGACCGCGCAGTTTGACCCGCTACGGATGATGGTGCCGCCGCACTCAGATAGTCGTTCATAAGTTTGTTACCTCTCTCCTTGCGTCGTTTCCTCGCTGCTGAGGGTAATTACCATAACGTTTGGACAGGATTTTAATTTTTATAATGTCCTTCCAGCGTTACCGATCATTGGCCGCGAAAACCGAACAATTTGCAGCAAATATCGTCATAGGTGTCGAACCTTAGCGCAAATGGACATTACAGGCGACAGAGATGTTCATCGCCACACATGACCCACCCGCCCCGCGTCCTTTCCCGCGTCGGAGGCCCCCGGACCTCACGTCATTTCGGCGCAGAACGCGGATAAATCGCTGTTAGACGAGAATGCACTGTCTCACCACTGTCCGAGCTCCCAGGTACCAGTTTGATTAGTGCGAGTTTTTTAACGTTCTCGATAGCGTAAGAGTTACCTGAAATTAGTATGCAGCTGGAACAGTGCCCCTAGCGGCAAACATAGGCAAACGTTTCAACTCCATACAAATTTGAGTTAACTTTTACGTTATCGAGAACGTTAAAAAACTCGCACTAAGCACACAGAACATTGTTGACACACACCGGTATCACTCTTGTGTCTGCACGCCGGGCCGCCCATAAATCGGCGCGGGGAGACAGTTGACTTGGCTCATCAAACACAACGTTATCTTGGATCGCAGCGCGCTGTTACAATTCTACATCCGCGCTGTTCCGACCGCGCCAAATCACAAATGTCTATTTACATAGTACACGATTACAGTTTTTAGTAAATTAAAAAACATAACCTGTGTAAGTATAAGTTAACTCAAATTTGTATGGAGTTGAAACAGCGCCTCTAGCGGCAAACGTAGGCAAACGTTCCAATTCCCAACAACCCAACTTGGGTTGGTCGAGCTCACAGACGTTGTTAAGTGGTTACCCACCACCCACCTTGAGATAAGTTCTAAGGTCTCAGTATAGTTACAACGGCTGCCCCGCCCTTCGAACCGAAATGCATTACTGCTTCACGGCCGAAATCGGCAGGGTGGTGGTACCTCCCGTGCGGACTCACAAGAGGTCCTACCACTAATAATTACGCAAGTTATAATTTTGCGGGTTTTTATTTTTATTACACGATGTTATTCCTTCACCGTGGAAGTCAATCGTGAACATTTAAGCACGTTTTGTACGTGGAGTATTTTTGTAGTGATAATTGTTTTTCTTTTATTATTATTAAATTTTGTATTCTTGGAAAGGATGGTGATACTTGAGGTGATCACATTGTTATGTTTGTTGTATTCCATAATTTGTAATTTATATATCGTTATATATAATTTTCTGAACTAAATGGTACCCTCGAGAGGGGAAAAGATTAAAAGGACGACCGTTCCAAAGATGGGTAGACGATATAAAAACTGTTGCAGGCTCTACGTGGAAGAGGAAATGCCACGACCGGAACTTATGGCAGGATTTGGGGGAGGCCTATGCGAAAGCAAAACAATCTTAGCCGATGTCAAATGAAAAGAAAAATGTACCTAAATATAAATTAAGGTTGTTAATAAAGGCTTCTTTATCTTTATCTATATATAATTTTCTTGAAGACCATTTTCAATATGTTTATAGAATTTAAATTTCTTGTTTTAATTTTTTACTTAGCATCTCTTAGGCTAATGAGGCATGGGCTAAAGGCGAAACAGAAGATCTACACGTAAGGGCTATTCCACTCCTGTGCTGCGTAGTTTCAATAAAGATAACTGTTGCGTGAAACTATTTATTTTGTTAATCCTTTGACTGCCGTGTACGTGTAACCGGTGCCCTACGCGACGCACTGATGTAATTATGTCGATTTCTGTTAATAAGCGCATGGATTGCCTAGCTTAGCCTTCCTTTTTTCGTTAATTAATGTTTTAGTTTTTGACGTGACGTCTTTTTTATTTTTTATTTATTTCATTTACATCAGATTTTGCATCCATATTACACTTATAGTTCGATGGAGCCGGCTGCACGCCTGCACGAAAGAACATGGCTCATGCGGCGTTACCTCGCTTTGATGCGTAATCGCGCAACGAGCGACAAAGAGGCACAATCGGCCTCCGCGTTCGGCAGCGTTCGACATCTGTCTATCTCCTACTTGAGTGAGCGATGCATCCGCGTGGACAGCTGCTATACAATAATACATTTACATGTTTTCGTCAAGTATGAAGTTCAGTGAAAAGTGAATGCGGTGTCAATTGTCCATACAAAAAATCTATCAAGCAAATAAAATTAAAATTTTCTTTTGAAAAATGAAACCGTTCCATCGGTATTTTCTTATGACGTTGTCACGTTCAACTATCGTCAGTAAACCGACTTTACAAACAACCGATTTTTTTTTAGGTCTCTCGAAATACGATTCATTTCGGATTTGTTTTTCCCAGTCCACTAAATATTATAGCGCTTTATTTTGGAGCCGGAATATTTAGTAGATTCTGGGAAAGACCGTAATCTAGGCGCTTATTAACAGAAATTGATTAATTGCTTCGGTGCGTCGCGTAGGACAGTCAAAGGGTTAAGTAATAATCGAACCAGTGCATTGTGAGTGTGACAGAGGCGTAGTGGTATACTTTGGTATCGTCAAATATTCCTCACTGGAGGTCCGCTCGCGACTTTCATTCTTCAGAAACTGCCTAATTATAGCTTAATTAGTAAAATCTAAATGAATATAATATATAATCAGTCGACATGTACGTGTGAGTACTAATATTAGTTTTCTGTAGATTAGATAAGGCTCGGTATTTGCACAGAGTATCTCGGAAGGTCGCGAAATCGGGACCGAATGTTGCTGGACGACGACAATGTCAATGCCAAAGCGCGCTCGTCACCTGACATTAAGCGTCTACTTGACATATCTTCACGATTCCCCCGCTGAATTAGCTGTCTGACCCAGGTTGCTTAACCACTGGTCCGGATTCAATCTGTTAAAGTTTATTAACCAAAGTTAAAGCTAATAAAAAAAGCGTACATAAACAAATACCTTATCGGCAAGGTCGGACGGTGCAGCCGCGTCGTCGGCGCCCTCCCTCATGTACTCCTCGTCGGAGTTGAAGCCCAGCTCCTCGCCGTAGCAGCTGTGCACCTGCACACAGCACGACACAGCTCAGCACACAGCGCGACACAGCACGACACAGCGCATCTATTCGATTCGGTTTAGTTTTCGGAAATTGGGCGTTTATGGTGGTCACAGCGCATAAGTCGACGAGCACGTTGTGCGACGCGCGTCCAATTATAATGCGCAGTGTGCGGGGCGCGCCTGACCTCGGCGGCCGGGAGGGAGTGGGATCGCTCGTAGCACCCGTAGCCATCATACAACACAAGATATGTGGCAGATGCCTGAATCTCGCTTACGACATTTTCAAGATAAGGGGCCATCCATAAAGTACGTCACACGAATTTTAGGACTTTTGAACCCCTCCCCCCCTCCTTGTCACAGGTTGTCACATTTTTATAACCCCCCCTCCTGATGTGACGTCACACATTTTTTAAATTTATGTATGTATTTAAACCTTACCATTCAAAATTCTCGTGAATTTGAGTGTCTCACTTGCATTACAACGCCGCTCTAGAAGTTAAATGACGTTGCATGAGAGATTATCGCATAGCGAGAATGCTAAATTATTAATAAATATAGATCAAGTTTGTAAATTTTTAAAATTTTTAATTCACATACAAACTTTGCGTTTTAGTATTTTAAATTTTAACATGTGACGTNAATTATTAATAAATATAGATCAAGTTTGTAAATTTTTAAAATTTTTAATTCACATACAAACTTTGCGTTTTAGTATTTTAAATTTTAACATGTGACGTCACAAAAGTATTGACCCCCCCATGCCCCTTGTCACACGATGTCACACTTCGGTGATACCCTCCCTCCCCATTAACGTGTGACGTACTTTATGGATGGCCCCTAAGCTTGCATATATACAAGTTCCGAACAACAACATTCGGGCTGTCGGTCTACAGAGCAGTATCACCCGCTCGGTGGAATCTTCCACTTCTCTTCCCGCCGTCTATACTTCCATACACCTAACTTGTTATGGAGGACAACACCCGATCCGGTGTATTTGCTGAATGTATGTAGCAAGTGTCCTAGCCTAGTTGCTTTTATTAACAAAGAATAAATAATGACATATTTATATAATTCCTTCGACTTTGGCATAAATAAATAAAACGACATTTACAATTCAATTTTTTTTCTTTTTTGCCTACTTATGCTGGTAGCCTTGGAGAGGCTATTTCAGCTTCTCCTTGACGTGTAGGTGAACTCACGGGGCTCAAACTGGGAGTGTTGCTAACACTGGTCCTAGCAGGAGCAGTGCTTCGCAGAATCTACCACCGGATCGGAAACGCGACCCACTGAGAAGATCCGGCGAGAAACTCAATGGGCTGTGTCTATGGGTTAATTCACTCGTCGAGCCCTTCGTCGCAAGCGACGGGTTCGGCGAGGACGGTGACCGGTGCTTGTGGTATCTAAAAGCACCGTTAATGGATCGGGAGGATCCGGAATGACGTGCTTAGGGCATTGGGCGACGTCGACTGTTTACCATTCGGTCCACAGGACCGGGTATGGGACGATTCAATCTCGTCGTGTATTGACTTTACATTTCTTGACATTGAAATCGATTTAGTAAAATTTAATAAACTGTATTAATAATGAGAACGATTTATGGAGAACTCTTGCAACTGAACACATTTATATAATCGACAATTGCCACTTCAATGACCTACATTTGCAAATGACAACGTAAACAATTACGAACGCCAGCTAATAATAGCGAAATAATTAACCCTTTTAGTGCTGAGCTTATATTTTCATATTTTGCAGTAATTACTAATTTTTCGAAAAACAAAAAAAAAACTTATAAAAAAATTACTTCAAAAAATATATACAAAAATCAATGCTACTAAATTCACAGCAAAATAATTATAAATGGGTATTTATAAATGTTATTAATTTATTCAAAACGTTACACACACACGTGATAGGAAAAGTCCGTACAGAACGATACCTAATACCTATAACTGCGCAATAGTCGATATTGCGACGTTGCGCACTTTATACGCGTTAATAGAGTCGATCTATCGACGGTTCCCGCTCAAAGGGTTAAAAAATAATAAAGTATAAACTAACTAGAAAAATTACCTTAACACATCGACCGAAATTGACAATACGCACCCGCTGCGGTCGTGATACTGAGAGTTCACAACACGATAGTTGCAACTAGGGTTGCCACCCGTACTTTATAATAAAATATTGTACACTACCCGGCGATAAATATTGCACATCGACTGTGGGAAAGAGACGGTTAATTTTTGCTTCGTAGAGAGTTATATCTGTCGCACATTGCCTAATTGACATTTAGTCTCCATAGGTACCGGGATCGTTGGTGTTTCGTCGCACACAGATAACGCTCTACAACAAAAACAAAATTAAACGAATGTCTCTCTGTCTCCGTGGTGGAGTTAACATTTTCTTTTACATTTTGACATTCAACAAGTGTGTTTTTGATGACATTCAAGTTGAAATAAATGATTTTGAATTTGAATTTGAATTTCTAAATATCGATGTGCAATATTTATTGCCTGGTACTGCACGTTATTTCAAGTAATTGTACTCTATACTTTACGTGAACAATAAAGTACACGAAAATACTTTATTTGCCATGATTTGGTATCTATGGGATTTCGAAAAGTTTAGTCATACGTATTGGTACGTTAAGCGAAATACATCGATTGCTTAATCGATGTCGCCACTCACCAACGCCACATCACTTAAGCATTGGTTTCTTAACAAATATATGTGACCGCAACTTAACCTCAAATGTCAACAATGTCACTGTCAGTAATTGTCATCATTTCTTGTGTAGTTTCTTAAATTGTAAAAAATATGTTTTTTTTATTGCCCTTGTAGGCAGGCGTCGGCAGACGAGCATACGGTCCATCTGAAGGTGAGTGGTTACCGTCGCCCATGGACTTCAGCAATGCCAGGGGAAGACTCAAGCCGCTGCCTACCGTGAAAGTAGTAGTAGTAGTATTTAAACATAAATAATAATAAAAAATAAATTGTACTTCATTTTTATACTATGTACTTTTTCCCATTTTTATTAACCAGGGTAATGTATCTGCAAAAAAGGTGGCAACCCTAGTTACGACGTCGAAATAAGATCACAAAAAACAATGAATATCTTTAAGGCCATTAGGGGGGCCGGTCCCGCTCGAGCCGTATGAATTGAATTTATGATTTGAATTTAAAGTGCCTCGTATTATTTTGAAAGTCTAATGTCGGAGGGAGCGTGCGGGAACACTCGAGGTTCGTTATCGCGTATCGAGAGGATTGCACTTGAGCCCTTTCGATTACGGCACGGTACGTGGTGTGCAGTTGGTCGGGTTATTGTCATGTCAACGCGACTTAGGTGTTGTCGTTCAATGTTCTAACTCAGAATCCTATAGATACATCTTCGTTTCATTTTTTTAATATCATTTCAAATTACAACAGTGCTGAAGATGTATTCATTTTAATAAATAAATACATGAACTTTCTACATTCAACCGATGTAATTACTATTGAAGCTTCGACCTTATTTAATTGTACTTACTTACAAGTTGTTCTTATTAAAGTGTAGCCTTATTGAGGCTAGTAAATAATGCATACATAGATATCATTAATGGATACATTGAGCATTCCTGAGCACTGTTCCGCCGGCACTGTTCTCTCATTGATTGTATTATACTTCGACAGGGGCACATCGTGATGTCCGTGGGCCACGGCATCCGCTGAACCTCACACGCGCAGAGCCCGCGTCTCTCTCCAGGACGCTACACCACTAACTAGACCCATAGAGTGGTGGTATTGTTACGCTAGTAGTCACTGACCCACTGCCAGATCTTGTGGCTGGTGAGCGGCTGGTCCATGAGCGCGTTCTGCCAGATCCGGAACAGCATCAGGTAGGCCTTGTCCCTGCTGGAGATGGACGTGAGGAAGTGCTTGTCCTTGTCCGTGCACACCAGGATGGCATTGGGTATGACCTGCAACACACAAACTTCTTTTTTTATTGTTCAGATGGGTAGACGAGCTCACCTGATGTTAAATGGTTACTGGAGCCCATAGACATCTACGACGTAAATGCGCAACCCACCTGAGATATAAGTTCTACGGTCTCAGTATAGTTACAACGGCTGCCCCCCTTTTCAAACCGAAACGCATTACTGCTTCACGGCAGAAATAGGCGGGGTGATGGTACCTACCCGTGCGGACTTACAAGAGATCCTACCACCAGTAATTATGCAAATTATAAATTTGGCGGGTTTGATTTTTATTACCCGATGTTATACCTTTACCGTGGAAGTCAATCGTGAACATTTGTTAAGTACGTATTTCATTAGAAAAATTGGTACCCGCCTGCGGGATTCGAACACCGATGCATCGCTATAGATACGAATGCACCGGACGTCTTATCCTTTAGGTCACGACGACTTCTGTATAAGTCATTTTGTAATTGAATGGAAATATCAGTCTCGCGTGCAAATCGCCCCCCCACAAATACGCACGAGAGCAGTCTTCTCCTTGGTGATGGCGGTGACGTCCTTCCACCGCAGAGTGAGGCTGGTCTCCCAGCCCAGGATGTACGCGTAGAAGCACAGGTAGTTCTGCGACGCGTACAGCCGCCCCTGCGCCAGGATGTCCTTCTGTAGCGCGCACGAGTAGTCTGCAGACAGTTCGCTTTGGTCACGGGGAGGCCGGCGAGGAGCACACTGGTCACGACTTCAGGGATAGCAAGCAAGGTAACCAACCTCATGTACTTAATATCGGCGTAGTCTGGCGGTCAGGAGGTAAAATGGCGGATGAAAGGCAGAGATGCGAATGTTGCGATGGATGTGTGGAGTAATGAGAATGGATAGAATACGAAATGAATATGTTAGAGGAAGTCTGAAAGTGGCACCGGCGACAGACAAGTTGAGAAGTGCGCAGTGAGAAGTGTGATGAAATGAGGTTGGTAAGAGAGTGTTAACTATGAATGTAGAAGGATATAGAGGAAGAGATAGTCCTAAGAAGAAATGGATGGATTGCGCGAAAGTCGATATGTGTAAGAAGGAAATCAGCGAAGAAATGGTATATGATAGAAGAGTATGGACGGATAAAACATGTTACGCCGACCCCAGGTGACTGGGAGAAGGGCAGGAGAATGATATTTCTGGCAGTAAGGTGTATTGTGAGCTATAACGAATGAATACCACCATCTTATCTATTTTGACCCCAAACCAGTCGCCATTGAGACTTCCAGCTGTCTCCAGGGTTGAATCCGGTGACAACATACTAAGTTAGCTCGTTTGCCCATTTAACAATACAGAGCTGCCGGAAGAGAGGAGAGACAGTGATGACTTCACCAAGAACTACCAAAAAACTCAGCACGGCTCGTCACAGGATACGAACCCACAATAAGTCTCTCGTCGTCGGGCAAGTCCTTGAACAGTCTCTTGAAGTCGTCCAGCTTGTTCTTGTATGTGGGGTACAGAGAGTTGTACCAGCTCTTCTTCTTGGTCCTGGTGGCATCGGGGCCGCGAGGATTCGGCGTCGACGTCTGAAATATTACAGATAACATTTTACCAGATTATAGGTGTCGTGAATATAAGAAAAATAGAAAGAGCGGTGATAATCTATTCACTCTGCACTACCTTTGGTTGACTGGTAGAGAATGCCTTAGGCATTAAGTCCGTCAGTGTAAATTTTACATGAAGTGTAATAAATAAATAAATAAATGAATAATCTTGAAAAATTTGTGGTGATTGGCTAGATTGCAGGCAAAAGATCTAGTGAGCGAAATCCAATGCGTTTATCCGACCAAATCCGCTCACTCTGGATACCACAGTCTAACATGGCGAAACGTCATCCAGAGAAGGATAATGGGAGGAAACGGTCACGACCCTCTGACATAGGAATGCGACTCAGAAAGGAGGAGGTGTCGTGTCTGTTGATTTGCCTTTGCTCCACGCGGCAGGGGAACAAGGAATCGATGCGGTCTTTTGCAAAAAGCTACTGATTCTCGGTAGCATTTTAAAATCAATATCATAGCTCGTATAACTCGTATCTGGAACCGCGAGCAGTACTTAGTGCAGAAAAATAAACGCATCAAATTTTGATGCCAATTTAGAGTTACGATGATCCTACTGAACGGATGTCATAATCATTGTCCAAACGACAAGACTCACTATCGGTTCAAGGTTAGACTGAATTAAAACGCGAGCGAACTACGGAAATGCTCATTACTATGAACATTGAATTGTTACATTCGTATAAGATGTAAATTATGGAGATCGAACTTATATCTCAAGGTTACCTTTGTCGCCAGATCAATTGTCCGTCAAGTTTAAAACTCTTAAATATTGCAGACGCATCGAGTCCAGTCAATGGCATTCGGTTCTTTTCATTGGACAATTTCGAGATTATGGCTAGTACGTGATAAACGTAGGAAGGTGCTGTCCATAAACCAGTTCCTAATGTCCGTATTACAATAGCAAATCAGGGTGTGAAGGAACGATTAAAAACGTGTGTGATCAGGTGGTATGTACTCGTCAGGAATCAAGTTCCTTATTAACAATAATGTGTCATTAAAATTTTAAACTTTAGACAAAGAGAAAGAATCAAAAGGAAGAAAGAGAAAAGAAAAAAAGAGAAGGGGAGAAAGATAGAGATAAAGTTGTATAGACGTTTAAAGAATAACGTTTTTTAAAGCTTAAATCAACTAACGCGTAAAGTCAATGATGAAATTTGCTACAATTTTTTGCGTTGTGAGGTATGACCTTACATACAGTTTTATGAATGATTTACTTAAGCGAATAGGTGATTAACGTCAAATCTACGAAACCCATGTCTGAATCATTTCATCAAATCATCGTCAGTTGGGGGACCACGACTAGACCAGACCAGACCTACAAACGCCACCTGGAGACCTGAGGTATCGGAATCTTAATTGCAACATAGTAATTGTTTTTATTACCTTGGAGTTGTCAGTTTTGAGTGAGGGCGAACTGATAACGGTGACCGCCTCATTGCTTGAGACAGAGATATTATCTCCACCTGTGAGGCTCGGCAAGTTGAGGGAGGAGTCGCTGGTCTGTTATTATTATACAAGTAATTAGATAATAGGTTATACAGTTCAACATTATTATGTTATGTATTTTTATTTCAGTAAAGAAATCATGCATTTTGTTAGTAAGTGTTACTTATAATCTATCATCATCATCATTCTCCTGCCCTTCTCCCAGTCACCTGGGGTCGGCGCAACATGTTTTCTCCTTCCATACTCCTCAACCATATACTATTTCTTCGCTCACTCCCCTCTTACACATATCGTCTTTCACGCAACTTTCACGCAATCCATCCATTTTTTCTTAGGTATACTTCTTCCTCTAAAGCCTTACTTATAATCGATGTTAGTAAACTTAAAAATCTAGCACATAGCTATTTGACTATTTATTACAATTACTTTCTCAAGTGCCTGCTGCAAAGGCTATTAATTAGCAGTCCCACGATCTTGCTCGATAGATTCAGAAGACAGAAAATTGTATGATCGAATATTCTGAATACAATATAGTTATTGTGGTCACGAAATACTCATGAAGTTAAGATAAAGACTTAGCAGACCACTAAGTCTTTGTCTTATAGAACATCGATAATCGTACGCTCTTACGTGAGAGTTCTAGTATCGTTGATTTCAATAAACGATGGCGACCAATGATCATTAGAGAAGCCTAACGCTCATCTATTTTGATGTTAAGCACAATAGAAAAGGATGGTCACAGCATTTTAACAAAAAAAGGCGTGTTCTGAGGTTCATATTGACACAAAACCAAATGTGTTCAGGAGTGAGTAGTGTCACCTGTCAGCGATGACATTGTTAACAGCACTGACAACAATTTGGTTCAAACAACGTGCTCATTTGCCGGTGAACGAATATAAAATAGCGTTTAAATAGCGTTACATTTCGGGACATTACACAAATCGAAAGAAACCGACATTTCTGTGACCTCAAACCTAATGACAAGAAATAGAGCAAAAAAATCTAAGCTTCCAATAATCAAGTTAATGTGAGCTTTATTTCGATAGGACTTGGAGCGGACTTCGACTAGATAAGTCACTTTTAAAACAGAATTACCTATACACAATATTATCGTTACGTCTAATTCAATTCGTCATGAAATAAAACTTGTCCACATTTCGTAGAGCTTAGCGTTGTCGAAGAAATCAAACATTAGGACATCGGCCTCCAGTGTTTTAATGTTTTGGTCTGATAAATAATGAAGATGGTTTGACACACGGACAGCAGGCGCAAGAGACACAAATTCCGCGGGAACCGGAAGCTGGCTTTTTTATTTTTATTGCTTTGACGGGTAGACCAGCTCACAGCCCAACTGGTGTTAAGTGGTTACCGGAGCCCATAGACATCTACAACGTAAGCCCGCCACCCATCTTGAGTTATGAGTTCTAACGTCTCAGTATAGTTACAACGGCTGCCCCACCCTTCAAACCGGAACGCGTTACTGCTTCCCGCAGAAATAGGCGGGGTAGTGTTACTTACCCGTGCGGATTCACAAGAGGTCCTACCACCAGTATGGCTTGTGACGAGGCGCTGCAGAAAGTGGCACAGATAGCGAGGAGGAGGCAGTTATGCTGATAACGCATTAAATTCTTTTAGTTTACCTTGTCATTGTCCAGAGTTTCTGTGGCGCTTTCAAAGTTGCGAGGGGAGGGCGACGGCGCGCGGGACACGTTTCTGAAATATCACAATCAAGTTTATTAGCTTTTAATAGCTCGCATTCTAATTACATTTCTTGTTCGACTACAAGTCAGTACCTACGTTCCATGGTCGGGGATCTTTGCCATTATCATAGACCATATTTCGTGATACATTATTCGTCACGTTGATAGCCTTATATTTAATCTATACATATAAATAAAATTGGAGTGTCTGTTTGTAATACTGAAATAGCCTCTTTTTAGTACATGTATATGAATATATGGTACATACACCAAAATAACATTGCCACCACAATTTTTGTCTGTCAGTCTGTCTGTCTGTTCCGGCTAATCGCTGGAAGGGCTGGACCGATTTTGACGGGACTTTCACTGATAGGTAGCTGATGATATAAGGAGTAACTTAGGTTACTTTTTTTAGAATAGCTTCGCCCCGCGGCTTCACCCGCGGTACGACAATAACAGCGGCTAATATCGCGCGGCTCAGGAAGCGAAGCGAGGGCGGGTCGCTAGTCGAAAATAAAATTGAGTTTCGATTGACTTAACGTTTTCTTTTGTACATGACTGTACGAAACCTTGTCTCGACAGTAGAAGGATATTATTGGTGTAGCGGCATTTATCAGCTAAATACTGCATCGCGGTAACTACTTTGGCCCAATTGGACGATGACGATAATTTTATTGTAATAATTCGGTGTTCCCGGCGGCCCAACTGGCGTTGAGCGATTCGCAGAGTTCAATAAACACGGAAAATGAAAAAGCTTTTTAATTCGAGTAGGCATTCACGGCCGATTTAAATCGACACAGCTTTACCGCCGATTCGGAGTGTCCAGTTTCACCATTGCGTAGAATGGGCATGGAAGTCATGGCCTAATATTGTTTCGTTCTAAATATAAATTAATCACAAACAAATTCACCAAAAAATATTGAGTCACTAAACAAAGACGTTAGAAAAAAATGATGTTCTACTGCTGACCATGACTAAAAGAACGGCGCGCGGCCCAATTAAGTGACAAGGGAAGAAAAGAGTATCCCTTTATTTCTGACCTTAAATAAAATATAATAGAGAAGACAAGAGAAACACAAATTTTTAACAAGTTTTCCACAACCTAAGCAGGCCCCGAGAAGAAATACGCGATTGACATTCTTATCGCGGCTCAAATTTGTTTTCTTATTTCATACTACATTACATTTACGATTAAAACTCATATACGCGTTGGAAAATCGTTTTTCATCAGTTGTTTAATCTTTTTTCAATGCTAAGTGGTATTTTCCTTGCTTCGGCGCTGGTAGTTTAAGGGGTTATTCTAGTTTCTTGGGAACGGGTAGGTGAAATCACGGGCTCAACCTGAGAGAATTTACCAACACTAGCCCTAGCAAGAATAGTGCTTCGCAGAATCTACCGCTAGATCGGCATCGCGACCTATTGAAAGGATCCGGCGAGAAACTCCGTGGGTTATGTCTGTGTGGCTAAGTGGGTGAATGAGCCCCATGTATATGAGGATTTAATCATATACCGGAACGAATAAATATCACACTATGAGTTTGAATTCTTAGTTGTATTGTGTAACGAACTTCAAAACGGACCGCATCACTTCTCCGCGACACAAGTAGAAAGTTGATATGAGACAGTGAGACATTCGCGATTTCCATGTTCTTCAATAACTGTCTAATACCAGACGTACCTTGAACTCTCCATGCATACGTTTAGATGAACTCGTCGAACTCGGCAAAGAGTCCGACGTGCAATCTAACCCATACATCAACCCGCTGAATTTCTTGCCGAATCTTCTCAGCGGGTCGTGATTCCGATCCGGTAGTAGGTTCATTCGCGAAGCAGCTGCTTTTGAGTAGTTAGATCTCCTTTGAAGGCGCTCGGGTAATTGTTAGCAAATCCTACCCCTCCTAACTAAGCCTTTGCTCGTTCACCTGTGCTGGTGAAACTGGAAAGGCCTTCGAGCCACCAGTAATACTACTCCTTTAACAATATGCTTGTTTGCAATGTGCTATTAATCAGTACAAATCTATACTCGGGTCAATAGTGTGTGTTGGCCGGTATCTGACAGACAATAGTCACACGTCCACCCTCGAACATAAGCGATGTCTAATAGATGCAATAGTCATTGTACGCACTTTAAACCAAAACACGCATTGTTTAATGACATTAATATTATGTAAATTATGCATCGCTCAGAGAGGTTTAACTGGATGTGTAATGGAGAGCGACCTGTTCGTTTGATCTTTTTCGACTCGTTAAATCATAGGTTCTCAACCTTTCGTAGCCTTTCCCAGTTTTCTTTTCGTTTTAAACTGTTACAGGCTAGCATTCTAATCCCTCTCCGAAATCCCAGTTGGTATTACGTCAACGGTGATTAAGACGGAACAACATTTCTTTTATTCCGTAGTACTTACTAAACTGGCCATTTGAGGCAAACCGCAACGTCAAAATAATCAGATTTTGTCGTTATCTCTGTATATATTTGATCGAGTTCACAAGAAACAAGGTAAGGAAAGCAAAAAAAATTGGGCATACAAATCTGTTGATACATCTGAGATCATGTCAAACATTTTTTTCATAATTCTTATTCCATTCAACACGACGCCACTAAAACTACTTTTTTTTTTAATTAGTTCAATTCTAGAGTTCTAAATTGAAAACCTGTCTTAAACAACATAATTAATAATGGAAGTTCGCTTTCGTATCGTCTCGGTAATGTGTCACCGCAGTGAGTTCCTGCTAGATCAGTTCACCACCGCCAAATAGGTATGTGGAGATATATAACGACGCCGGGAAGGGAAAATCTTCCACTGAGCGGGTGATATTTCTCGGTAGACCGACGGTCCGTATGTTGTTGTTCGGAACTTGTATATATGCAAGCTTATATTGAAAATGTCGTAAGCGAGATTTAGGCATCTGTCAAATATCTGAAGTTCGGTGATAGGTACCACCACAGGTACGTTACAGAGGATATTGCGCTTGGAGCCACGCAGAGACAAACATCGCTGGACGCTTAGGACCCCGCTCCAGTGTTCGATAACACACAGCGAGCTGTTTTTTTTTATTCATCAGCTTCACCCTAACGTGTAGGTAAGCTTACGGGAGAGTTGCTAACGCTGGCTCTAGCAAGAGCAGTGCTTCGCAGAATCTACCACCGGATCGGAAACGCGACCCACTGAGAAGATCCGACGAGAAACCCAGTGGGCTGTGTCTATGGGTTAATTCACTCGTCAAGCCCTTCATCGCAAGCGACGGGTTCGACCAGGACTGTGACCGGTTAGCTGTTTACGACGCTAAATAACATACGTCAAAAATAACACTGAACTGCTGTGGAAATTGTCAGACTACTCTTTATCTTACAGCGCCAAATGTTTTAGGTTTAACGTAACAAAAAGTAGCACAAAGCGAACGCAAGCCGCAGTGGTCACGGTCCACTGAGTCACTGATGAAAAAACTAACTTACGACATTTGACAGTGGCATTAACACAATAAACGATTCTGTTACGTGGCGGCTCTCGTCTAGAATGATCACGAATTTTTAAATTTGAATACGAGTTTTTTAACGTTCTCGATAGCGTAAAAGTTAACTCAAAATTTATATGCAGTTGGAACAGCGCCTCTAGCGGCAAACGTTCCAACTCCAACCGCAACAGTTGGAACGTTTGCCGCTATCGAGAACATTAAAAAACCCGCACTAAGCACACAGCTCCATCACGTCCATGGACTGATTTTATTTATGCAGTATCGAATTTCAAATATCTTTGTATTGTGTGCTCACAAGATGTCCTGCCATAAAAAAAAATCCGTTACAAACAAACATACATGCTAAATTAATGAAAGCGTCTCAAAAACTGTTGTAGTCTTCGTCATCTTTCGTGTTTCTAGCGCGGAGTAACCACGACTAGAACAGCACTTATGTGTTAGATTATTTCAACACAATGCGAGTCTGTGACCTTGGCACGAGAATATCGCGTATTATTAATGTTTACGTTCATTTTAAGCATTCAAGTTGATGTCGTTTCTCTTAGGTCAACCATTACCTCTCACGTGCAATATCTAATAGCGCGAGTTGTAGCGCGAGTTTTTTTAACTTCTCGATCGCGTGAAAGTTAACTCAAAGTATGGAGTTGGAACAGCGCCCCTAGCGGCAAACGAAGGGTAGCTGTTCCAACTACATACAAATTTTAAATACACTGTAAGTGTCGGCGTCGAAAAATAAGTAAAATAACTGAAATTAGAAGAGACGCGAGAGGCACAATGTTTAAAAAAAAAATGATTACCTTGAGATTTACACCTCAAACAATAAACAATGTTTACGTACTACGATGAATTATGTATGAACCGTATAGGTATTTTTTTATTGCTTATATGGGTGGATGGCCGTTGGGGCCAGAAAGTTCTTGAGTGGCGACCGCGTACTGGAAGACGTAGCGTGGGTAGGCCTCCCACAAGATGGGCCGACGACCTATTGAGATTCGCGGGGATCCGCTGGATGCAGGCAGCGCAGGACCGGTCTTTGTGGCGAGGCTTGGGGGAGGCCTGTGTCCAGCAGTGGACGTCCATGGGCTGATAGGATATAGGTGGACGAGCTCACAGCCGACCTGGTGTTAAGTGGTTACTGGAGCCCATAAACATCTGCAATGTAAATGCGCCACCCACCTTGGGATATAAGTTCTAAGGTCTCAATATAGTTACAACGGCTGCCCCACCCTTCAGACCGAAAGGCATTACTGCTTCAAGGCACAAATAGGCAGGGCAGTGGTACCTACCCGTGCGGACTCAAAAGAGGTCCTACCACCAGCAATTACGCAAATTATAATTTTGCGGGTTTGATTTTTATTACATGATGCTATTCCTTCACCGTGGAAGTCAATCGTGAACATTTGTTAAGTACGTATTTCATTAGAAAAATTAGTACCCGCCTGCGGGATTCGAACACCGGTGCATCGCCACATACGAATGCACCGAACGTCTTATCCCTTAGGCCACGAAGACTTCAACACGGCCTTCGACTTCAAGGTAACTGATACAATTGTTTTTACATTTAAAAAACAGCTGTTATCACGTTTTTTTATTGCTTATACGGGTGGACGAGCTCACGGCCCACATGATGTTAACAGCAGAGCCGTTAGACATGAAGGAAGTAAATTTCGACAATCACCTTGCGACATGAGTGCTAATTCTCAGTTCTATAGTACAACGGCTATTTTACCTTTAATACCGTAACACATTACTGCTTTACGGCAGAAATAGTCAGGGTGGTGGTGTCTATGAGCACGCTCATAACGCGTTCTACCGATAGTTATTAACTATGCTATAAAATAATGCTTTTTAAGGGCTTGTTGGTGAGTGGCTAGGAAATATGACATCACAAAGTCATCGTGGCCTAAAGAATGAGACGCCCGGTACATTCGTATCGGGCGTTGCTACTGTGCCAGTTCACTGTTCAAATCCTGCAGGCAACTACATATTTGACTTAATTTGAGTAATGACTTCCCCAATCGTGTTATTAAAATCAACCCGCAAAAAATATAAGATATAAATAAAGATACCACTTTTTTTAAGGTATGTCTTGACCTGGTAACTAAGACCTTTAAGTCACGTTTTATTTTTATGAAAAATGATAACATAAGGATAATATGGAGTGAAATGAAATAAAATAAAATGAAATGAAGATGATTGATCAACTCGGATAAAATCAAATGAAATGAGATGAGATGATATGGGATGAAATATATATAATCTTAGTAAAATGGTGGTCATTTACTGAGATTTACAAACATATAAAGACTATCAACATTGTTCTACCGCCAGTAACATATTTTCTTCCTTCAGAGCTTTCAAGATTATCCGCTTCTTCTTTCTGTGCTTTCCTGTGCTTGTTGTGCCTTTTTATACAACACAAACTGTTAAACTTTTGGTGGAGTGTTTTATTTTGGGATATTTCTAGAACACGCAGGGACAACCCCGCATCTCCCGCTACACGGACCACCACATGTACATAATAATTACTCTAGAATTGAACCGTAGACCTCAAGTATTAAAGTGGGTCGCAACATTCACGTTGTGGTATTTACGGGTTCGAGCACTTAACATCAGCTGGATTTCGAGCTCATTTATCCGTCGTTTACAATAGCTCTGGTGAGCTCGTGGAATTAGATGAAAGTGTAAAATTTTACATTAAGAACAAAAAAAAACACTACCTAATTTTTATACTCATTGTTACGTGCATGTTTCTAGAAAAGATAACCCACATAACCCATGTGGTGGTAGGACCTCTTGTGAGTCCGCACGAGTAGGTACCACCACCCTGTCTATTTCTGCCGTGAAGCAGTAATGCGTTTCGGTTTGAAGGGTGGGGCAGCCGTTGTAACTATACTAAGAGCTTAGAACTTTTTTTTTATTGCCTTTGTAGGCAGACGAGCATACGACCCACCTGATGGTGGTTACCGTCGCCCATGGACTTCAGCAATGCCAGGGGCAGAGCCAAGCCGCCGCCTAATTTATATCTAGATCCGCCAAGATGGGTGGCGCATTTGCGTTGTAGATATCTATGAGCTCCAGTAAGCACTTAACACTAGGTGGGCTGTGAGCTCGTCCACACATCTAAGCAAAAAAAAATACTTATTCTTAAACTACATAGTAATCATTAATATCACAAATCATTCTCATTCTCAACAAAGAGACTTTTAAGACAGAACAATAAAGCACTTTCTTATTGTTAACAGTTACCTACGTATCAGACAACAATTACCAACAATACGGATATAATCAAATCGCAGCGCTTCACAATCCCAATAACAATATCCCAACACTAACGAATTCATAACGCGTCCCACAAACGGTAATTTAAGTAAATTTATTTACCTCAAAATTACTTTTCCTGTATCCTCCGCGTGTGAATAATGCACCCGATAATTACACGTTTGAGTCATGTCTGTTGACCACAGAAACCGTTTGCCAACTAACTGAATTATTGATACCACATTGATAATATGTTCGATAAGATTTTAATAATAGAGATGTCGGAAATTTTTTATTAGTTTTATTTTTAATTCTTTTTTAATCTAAAATACATAATTTGTTTTGGAATATTATTTTTCGCGATTAGATTTTTGTAGACAAGCACTCGGTCTACTTGATAGTGAGTTGTTACCGTCGCCCATGGACTGCAGCAATACCAGGGGCAGAGCCAAGCCGCTACCTACCGTTAAGTACTTTCCACAAGCCTCGTTTGAAGAAGGACATTTCATAGCGCTCGGGAAACACCGTGGAGGGGAGCTCATTCCAAAGCCGGATAGTACGTGGCAAAAAAGATCTCTAGAAACGCACTGTCGATGAACGCAGTGACTCCAGGTAGTATGGATGAACTCCTCTCCGGTGGCGGGCGGTGCGATGATAAAAACGAGATGATGGAATCATCTCAAACAATTCCTCAGAGCACTGCCGTACTATATCACCTTATATATAAATCCTTCGAACAACAAAGGAGGCTTTTCTTTGCAAGGCTAAATCACTCCAATAATAAAAACGGAAAAAAATTTGCTCGGTTTATTGTTTTCTTTATTTTGTCGAAATAAAGTAAACACAAAGATGGCATTGAAGTTGTGACGTATACAGACGGTAGTCATCTAACATCAGAGGGGTCATGAGCTGATCTGATATAATTCTAGGAATCACGAAATATTATAATTATTCATTGAGCGCACACTGCATAGAGTGTTCACATATCTGCTTTATAGCTACAATCGCACAGCAGACTTCTATTAAATTTAATTGGCTATTTGAAACTGTAACAAAGCTAGTTTCGTAACAACGATTTTTACAATGAAAATCAACTTGCCTTTGTTTAATACTTATTACGTTCGAGTGAGGCCAGTCGTACGCAACGTGTTGTATCTGTCTAATGGAGTGCTCTACTATATTAAGCATCGTAGATTTTGGCCTAGTATAAATAACTATAAGTGGAAACATTTAGAATTAACTGAATCTCGGAATCAGCCAATGAGCTATCGTACTCTGTACATATCGTACTCTGTACATTGCTGATTCGTCAATTAAGAACCTAAATATTAAGTTATGTTACATCAAACTTTTCAGGAATCTCAAGCACCTTTTAACGTAATTAATGTTTTTAAATATACTCTATTATAAAATCACGTTATTTATTTTCTCACGTACTTGTATAGAACATGTACCGTACATACGATACGGTAAATGGCTCAAGACCAATCAAATGATCAATCATAATGAAAGGCAAAGAACAATTTGTAGTCTTTACTTTTGGTAGGACGTGTTGTGAGTCGGCACGGGTAGGTACCACCATCCTGCCTATTTCTGCCGTGAAGCAGTAATGCGTTTCGGTTTGATGGGTGGGGCAGCCGCTGTAACTATGCTGAGACCTTTGAACTCATATCTCAAGGTGGGTTTACGTTGTAGATGTCTATGGGCTCCGATAACAACTTAACACCAGGTGAGCTGTGAGATCGGGCACCATCTATGCAATAAAAAAAAAGTCATCTATTTTAGATAGGTTTATCTATTTTAGTAACCAATCATAAATATCGATGCAATCGGACCTATTATCAACCGATTCGCTATTGCACATCACTATTCATGGTTCTTTATTTGAGTTCCTTTGTCACATTTCTCAGTTTTAATTGATTAAGTGTGCAATTAAATACATTGCACGTAAAATGCTTTATGTAAGTGATGTGGTATGAAACTATGGAGATGAACATTACTTATTCGATAGGCGAGAGGTAGAATTGTTTGTATCCATTAACATTAATATACAGGGTGGTGTCCACCTGGAACCTAATTCGCAAACAATTGTATGTACATAAATAGGTTGAATTTCATTTAAAGTAAAATATATCACGATTTTGTATTCTATATGAACATAATATCGGAAAGTAATTAATTGTGAATACTGTAGAACCTGTTAAATAACCTGTTAAATAATTGTGTGTATAATGTAATATATAATTTGAAGTTTGTTAAGGCACTGTATATTAAGTAAAAGAAGAACGTTATGTTTCGTTGGGAAACTGCGCCATAGATTGGCGAATGTTAATCGAATCTTATTTGTGAGACGCATGATCTGTTGTTAAAATCTTGAGCAAGTAAATTAGCCCACAGACCCAGTTCACTGAGTTTCTCGCCGGATCATCTCGGTGGTTCGCGTTTCCGACCCGGTGGTCCGACACTAACCCTAGCAAGTGCAGTGCTTCAGATTCTGTGAAGCACTGCACTTGCTAGGGTTAGTGTTAGCCACGACGTCAGGTTTAAGTCCCGTTAGCTCACCTAGTTGCTAGGTTACGCTGACATAGCCTCTCAAGGGTATAAGATACGGTAGAAAAAAAAATTGTGGGCTATGATGCACCGGGCGTCTTATCCTTTAAGCCACAACGATGTTGATTGCGCTACGCGTTTTAACAAAGCTAGATGGTGCTACCATCGGACGGTAATACAAACAATCAATACACAAAGTATACATCATTGATAAAAGGATTAATTTTTCCATTGATAAGAGTGCTTCCCAATAGTAAAAGTTCACTAAACCCGTTATTAGTGCTGAGACTTAGTTGTGTCCTTGAGTTAAACTTTATTAATTAATAATTATTATTAAACTCACTTGCTGTCCTGTATGAGTTGGGACGTGTGCTGCGATATCACTCCAGAAAAGTTCAGAGCTTGACTTATACTCTGCCCTATTGCATCTTGTGAAGATAGAACCAGGTTTTCCACAGATTTTCGCCTGAATTACAACAAAAATAATTAATGAAGCTATTTTGGTTACTAAAACTCAGAGATATCATAACATGATTTACATGATGGCATACGTAGTGTTGTTTCAAAAAATGTCCAATCTTAAAATTATCATTATTAATTAATAATTTAGTAAGGGAAACTACATAAATCATCACTTTCCTTTAATTAATATTTTCTTTTTGTCCTCAAAAACTTGGGATAGATAGCAATTTATAATTTTCTTCAAGGTGATGTTGATGATGAGTTTGCTTTACTTTTTCGATCGGTGAGTGATGACCATAATTATTGGTGCAATCATAGTCATGAGGTACATCATGAACACTATTTTATAATAACTATCATAAATTTCCCTCTATGTATGGCCAGCAATGGGAACACATCTGATCACATCTGCTATTGAAGAACATCATAGGGGCTACAGGTTCTCAGGCCCTCAAGTTACTGGGGTTACCATCTTGAAGACACCAGAAAGATTTTGGATGAGTTGAGATAGTCTCTTTCCTTGTTAACTTTCACACCAAAGTAATAAACAGTTTGAGCCTATGAGATGCAAAAAATTAGATTTTAAAAATATAAAAAAGTCAACAATACAATGCATCTTGAAGAATTACTAACAAGACAGACCAAGTCCCTAAAATTCTAATTGTTCCATTTTTTGGGAAAAGTTCCACTTAGATATCAGTGTAACCAATCAGAATGAAGAACAAACTTGACTTTCAGTAATGAAAGAAAAGATTCTTGAATATGTACTGTAGTATAACTTCAAAAATAATATTGGAAGAAAAAGCATTCAAACAATAAGTTTTTCAAATTTTTACAATTGCTATTTTCTAAATATCAGCTTATTTTCATTCCAAAATATTTTTCTTCCTAACATTTATTAACTAAAGCAACATATCACAATAAAAAAAACAATTCTAGTTTTAATTAAACATGCGACTACAATAAAAAAGCGCAGATTATGTTAAGACATTCAGCTATGAAATCAACCATTTGTAAATCTAGAATTACAACAACATATATATAATTTTTTGCGAGTTTTTTTCTTTCATATCAACATTTTCCACATTAATTAGCTATGATGATTGTTATGGATTTAATATATTGCTGCACGCATGCGAGTGGCGAATTTTCGAGATCACATCAGTTTCGGTTAGACGCCGGAGATCAGTGAACTTGAGTTAGAAACCAGTTCGCGACACAATACAAAGGTTGCAATGAAAAATAAACAAGACAATCTAACAAGCCCACCAGCATAACTACGTGCTGTGTCTATAATTAGTGAAAATACGTCAAAAGTACTAACATTTGTATTGTTATATTTCGACTTTCTACCTCCGAGGAAGACATGTTTAGACACAGTCCTGTTTCCACTTACGGACTCGCGACAAGCGAACGTTTGTTAACTAAAAGGTTTTTTGCTTTCATCATCCGCCTATTGAGCTTTTTTTCACAAAAACACGAAATTGAAAACCAAGACTGAAAAGTGAAACTTCAGCATGACATATGACAGCTGTGTATAGTAGTTGTTTTATTTTTCGAACTAAAAGGCAAAGATGTCATATCATACACCCTAATCTTTTATGTTATATTTTTTATATATGAAAAATGATTTTGACGTGAAATGAGATGAGATGAGATGATATGGGATGAAATATAATCCCAGTAAAATAATGACCATTTACTGAGACTTTTCGGAGGAGGAGAAGCTACGTCTAGCGTCTTTGTTTTATTTTCCCACATTTGTGCACTTTAGCCATTTGGGTTTTAAAGTAAGTGTTAAAATCTAATAATGGTTCATTATTACTGAAAATAACATAGTTTTACAGGCTTAATCAAGAACCATTAAAGTCTCAGCCAATTTAACTAAAGTTTATTTTTACAGGTGCGAGAAACAATTAGGGAGATATAAAGTTGAGTAGGTAAACAGTGGTTGAAAGCAATGTCTCAAAAAAAACAGTTTGACGTTGACTTTTAACACGTGAACCATACCTTCATTTTTCGAAAACATGTCTAATATTTTGCTACAAATGCACTTGGAAAGAGCATGGGAATAAAATCGGTATTCTTAAATGTAAATAGAAGTACCAACAGAAATGGCAGACGAAACAGTTTTCGATAAGAAAAAATCGCATCATGCAAAACGCGCTGGGCGTAAAGTCGAGAAGAAGAAGAACAAGAATAAAATAGACCAATCTAACCTAAGCGCTCGTCAGCGAAATCCTAAAGCTTTCGCCATCCAGAATGCTGTACGAGCTGAAAGACAATTCCGTCGGCGTGAAGACGTTATCTCCAAAAAACAGCACATCCCCCAAGTAGACAAGACGCCGTTGGAACCGCCTCCAGTTGTGGTCGCTATCGTAGGACCACCGCGCGTCGGTAAGACTACACTCATAAACAACTTGATTAAAAGCTTCATAAAAACAAATGTAACCAACACCGACGGTCCCATTACTATCGTCACGTCTAAAAAGCGCAGGATAACGTTGATAGAATGCAATAATGATGTAAATTCAATGATAGACATAGCCAAATGCGCTGATCTAGTGCTGCTCCTATGCGATGCTAGTTTTGGTTTCGAAATGGAGATATTCGAGTTCTTAAACATATGTCAGGTGCATGGAATGCCCAAGATAATGGGTGTGTTGACACATCTCGACATGATAAAGAACGCAAAGACATTAAAAACAACAAAGAAAACTCTAAAACACAGGTTTTGGACAGAAGTCCATCCCGGAGCCAAGCTGTTTTACCTCTCTGGTATAATCCATGGAGAATATTTGAGGAATGAAATAAAAAATCTTTCAAGATTTATCTCGGTAATGAAGTTCAGGCCTTTAAGCTGGAGAATGACCCATTCATATGTATTAGCTGATAGATTAGAAGATATAACAAGTCAGGAGGCAATAAGAAAAGATCCAAAAGTGAATAGAGATGTGGTGCTGTATGGCTACGTACGGGGTGTTCCCTTGATGAAAGAAAGCATGGTACATATTGCTGGTAAGTTTGTATAAATTAAACTCATCTTATATGAAATTATTAAAAAAAGCCTAAGAAATATAAATATACTATTGTGTTACGACTTATATCCATTAGTTTACTTATTTATTATTATGTACAACACTATTACAGTTGTATTTGTGTATGTCTATTGGGACTTTATTCTGCAGGTTCCAAAATGGTCCAGTGTTTTGCATCAATACACAAAACTATTTATTTCTATTGTTGTGTAGGTGCTATGGTCATTAATTTAATTTAAAAATGTATTTTTACATGTAATGTTTTCTTAATTTTCAAAATTCTAAAGTGTATTTTGAAACGTTAAGATTTTTGAGATATAAAAACGATGTTCACGATCGAGATCATGATGTGAAATTATCTTGACAAATCACAATGAAACTATTATATGGTTTAATCATTTTTATTTTCTTGATAGGTGATCGTTTATCTTTTAAATACATTTAAAAAACCCTACTAAAACAATTTAGGAAGATTTAAAAAAACATAAAACTGAAAATTATCTTGTGATTAGGTTGTAATATACAAAATATCACATTTTGATTGTAAAAATTACAGTATAATATTAACATTGCTCAATATAAGCTATAATTTACTAAATGAAGTAGTACTACTATTCTTTTAACCTTACAACAGGTCTATTGAAAGGTCAAGAGAACCCTTCCAACTCTAGATTTAGTGATTTTTTTAATCAATCAAGTTCGAATTAATTTAAATTATTAGAAATAAAAACTCAATTGTATTATAATGTGTTCATTTCAGGTGTTGGTGACATGAAGATCAGTGAATTGTCATATTTACCTGATCCTTGCCCTCTACCAGGCAGTGAAAAAAAACGGCACTTAATGGAGAGAGAAAGACAAATCTATGCGCCATTCGCAGGAGTTGGCGGCATCGTATACGACAAGGATGCAGTATATATAGAACTGAAGGGCTCTCATTCACATAAACATGAAGATGAAGAGACAAACGAGAAGAAGGAGTTGCTGAAAAATGTTGTTGAAACTAAGGAAACTGTGGATGAACAGATGCAGGAATCTGGGCTTAAACTATTCAGTGGAGGGGCTGTTATTTATCCTGATATGATGAAGGACGATGAATATTTACAGCAGAACAAGAAGAATGATGAGTCTGAATCAGAAGGTGATTTAAGTGATTCAGATAATGATAGTGGGATAGANGAGAAGAAGGAGTTGCTGAAAAATGTTGTTGAAACTAAGGAAACTGTGGATGAACAGATGCAGGAATCTGGGCTTAAACTATTCAGTGGAGGGGCTGTTATTTATCCTGATATGATGAAGGACGATGAATATTTACAGCAGAACAAGAAGAATGATGAGTCTGAATCAGAAGGTGATTTAAGTGATTCAGATAATGATAGTGGGATAGAACAGAGTGCGAAACACGAAAAAACCAAGCTGCCCTGGGATAATGAATCTCAGTCTGAAGAGGAAGACAGTCAAGGTATAGATGCAGAAAACAAGGATGGCGATGAAAGTTTGGAATCCGATGAAGAAGTGGATAATGATGAAAATTTTGATACTAAATGGAAAGAGAAGTTAAGTGAAAAAGCCACTGAAGCATACTTTGAGAGACAAAAAACTTCAAAAAATATTATGAAACTTGTGTATGGAGGTTTTGAGATTGGTCACAAAACTATAGATCAGAATGAAGAAAAGGATAACAGTACTGATGACGAGGAGATCGGAGGCTTATTCAAGAAAGTTACAGATACTCAGAAGAAAAAACATAAAGAAAAAGAACACTTGGATCTAGATGAATGTTCATTTTTCTATGCTACAAATAAACCAAACTTAAAAGATTGGACAGCAGACTCAAATAAGACATTCTTGATTAATAGCTTTGTAACTGGAAAAAGATCAGCTGATGAGGATGCATCAGAATTATTGAAGTTAGATGATGCTAGTGATGCTGAAGAAGATGAAGAAGTGTATGGAGATTTTGAAGATTTAGAAACTGGAGAGAAACACCAAGCTGATAAAGAGACGAAAGAAGCCAGTGGTAAACGTAAAGGTGAACCAACTAAAACAGAAATTTTGGAAAAGAAACTCAAATTGAAAGCCAAATTTGACTCGGAATATGATAACCCAGACGACCATAGAATTAAAGGCGATCATTCTTACTACGAAAATTTAAAAGCAGAAGCACTTAAGCAGTCAGAATTAAACAAATCTGTCTTTGAAAATTTGGAGCATGGTCTCAGAGTAGAGGTGGAAGGGTTTAGACCAGGACTGTACGTCAGGATGCTATTCAAAAACACGCCATCAGAGTTTGTGACGAATTTCGATGCAAGCTATCCAATATTAATAGGATCTCTGAACATGGCAGAACAAAACATAGGTTTCGTGTCTTGCAAAGTAAAAAAACATCGATGGTTCAAGAAAATTTTAAAAACAAATGATCCCCTTATTATATCTTTGGGTTGGAGAAGATTCCAGACTCTGCCAATCTATTCTAAAATTGAAGACGACTTGAAGCTTAGGTACTTAAAATACACACCGGAGCATGTCACATGTAACATGCATTTTTATGGTCCCATCACTCCACAGAACACTGGATTCCTAGCGTTACAAAGTGTTAACAATAACACAGACGAGATAAAACAAGTGGGATTCAGAATAGCAGCTACGGGAAGCGTTAACGAGATCAATAAATCAACTCAAATTGTAAAGAAACTTAAGTTAGTCGGTACTCCATTGAAAATATATAAGAAAACTGCATTCATCAAGGACATGTTCACGAGCACACTGGAAGTTGCGAAGTTCGAGGGAGCCAGGATCAAAACGGTATCCGGTATCAGAGGACAGATCAAGAAGGCGTTAAGCAAACCCGAAGGCGCGTTCCGGGCGACGTTCGAAGACAAAATACTCATGAGCGACATCGTATTCTGCAGGACCTGGTTCAAAGTGGACGTAACCAGATTCTATGCGCCGGTCGTGAACCTCCTGCTGCCGCCCGGCGAGAAGAACGCGTGGCAGGGCATGAAAACTAAAGGACAGCTCAAACGAGAAAGAAACATTAAGAGTGACGCTACCAGAGACTCCATGTACACAGAAATACAGAGAGGTCCCAAAGTGTTCAAGCCATTAGTTATACCAAAAGCCCTCCAAAAAGGTCTACCGTACCGATTCAAACCAAAAGAGAAAGCCACAACGCTTTCCGGGAATAATCCAAAGGATAAGTTCAAGGGCCGCGTGGCCGTCGTGAAGAGCCCCCACGAGCAGCAAGTGGCCAACGTCATGAAAATGTTGAAGACCAATTATCAGAAGAAGAAAGCGACCCAACGAGCGGCGACCGTAGACCGACTCCGCGCGCACAAGAAACTACAAGAAGCCGAGGAGTGGAAGAAGATCAAGCGACAGAAGGAACTCAAGAAGAAAATTTGTAGGCAGATCAGTAAAATGGGCAATAAAAAGAAAGCACAAATGTGATTATGTATTTTATTTATTGACCCACATGGTAGGTAACGCGTCACCATTCGCCTTTTTTTTTTATTTCTTTTTTTTTTTCCTACCTAAGCTGATAGCCTTAGCGGCTATGTCAGCGTAACCCTAACTTTAGTAGGTGAGCTCACGGGGCTCAAACCTGACGATGTTGCTAACACGAACCCTAGCAAGAGTCGTGCTTCGCAGAATCTACCACCGGATCGGAAACGCGACCCACTGAGAAGATCCGGCGAGAAACTCAGTGGGCTGTGTCTGAGAGTTAGTTTACTCGTCGAGCCCTTCGTCGCAAGCGACGGGTTCGACGAGAACGGTGACCGGTGCTTGAAGTACCTAAAAGCACCGTTAGTGGATCGGGAGGATCCGAAATGACGTGTTTTGGGCGACGTCGACTGCTTTCCATTCTGTCCGCAGGATCGGGAATGTAGTTACCGGCGGCCACGATGNGCTGATCCAAGACCTGGCACCAGCTCTAGTTTTGACCTAATGGAAGGAATATCTATTTTACCCCTAGATTAAATTACTACAATTATTAACCTGTATTTTTTGTTCATGTACTAATAAATATATAAATAAATACATATTATGTTGTTTTTAATAACTTAATAACATTTTTGTACGTAATTGTACGATGCGCGAACTTACCCCCACTACGTCAACTAATGCTCAAGAAGTTTGCCGAGTATTATAACGCTCCAGCAGAGCCCCCACGCGTCACCATTCGCCTTGAGCAACGATATTGTATAAGAGCAGTCTCACTAAACAGTGTCATTGTAATTCACTGTGCCACTGCTGACGACTCTCCGCAAACCTCGCCTGAGGAAGCACTTGCCGATGCTCGGGAAGCACCGTGGAGGCCTTATGCCCCACTACCAGAACTAATTGTTGAGGCATACGAACATAGAGCCCATTGGATGTTCACTGGTCTCCATCGCCCGTAGACTTCGGTAAGCCAAAGGCACAGCTAAATCATTGTCCTCTGCTGAAGACGTTAAGCCTGGTTAGAGGAAGGGCATGTCACGGCGTCCAGGGCTGTCTGGAGCGGGGTGGCACAGGGGAGGGCACCTACGGTGGCTGCTTCTCAGGAGTTTCAAGTGTAAATAAAACAAAAAGATTTGGTGTAAATTGTATTTACCTCTTATCAATGCATAACTTGTTTCGTCATCGCATGTTTTGATAAATATTTTTACAAAGGTTACACAGTGGTACAGATTACATTGGTCAAAATAAACACAGACTACATTAACAATTTAATTTTTCAAAAAACGAGACACAGATATCCGTCCTCACTCTCGNAGTTTCAAGTGTAAATAAAACAAAAAGATTTGGTGTAAATTGTATTTACCTCTTATCAATGCATAACTTGTTTCGTCATCGCATGTTTTGATAAATATTTTTACAAAGGTTACACAGTGGTACAGATTACATTGGTCAAAATAAACACAGACTACATTAACAATTTAATTTTTCAAAAAACGAGACACAGATATCCGTCCTCACTCTCGCTGAACGTGATAACATTTTCACTAAACACCGCAACTCGAGGGCGAAGCTATATCGACGAGGGAAGCTTGGAATGTCACCGCGTAGGATTTATACTCAATCTATCAACACATTAACACGAAATTATATACATTTGAACATTTAAAAAAACTTTTCTTAACTATTATTTTACAATTTAACGTGAAGGTAACTCTATCTTTGGTAGCGCGAGCCGCGAGGAGCTGTTGGGGAACGACCGGGTGCACGCGCGCGCGTCTCCGCGACTTCCAGAACAATCTTCATAACGATATCTTGTGAGCCTACAAGATAAACCATTTCATTGATTTGTCAAAAAAAAGCAACTACAAATTTTATATATATATCGTTAGCACCGTTGTGTTATTAAATTTGACGAAACGAAAAACGACACTAAAAAGAGACAGACATATTGGATTAAGCCTGCGCGAGAATGAGATAGAATGAACATTGTTCTGAAGCGCCGCGAGACGGCACGTCGGAATGTTACAGAGTTACAGCCGTGGCACACACAGCTATCGATTCGTTGGCACTTGTGGAGGTTTGTTTACAATACGGACATCCCGACACTAAAAATACAAGTTGCAGGGATGCTAATTGCAGTCCCTCGGTAATTGAACTCGTGTATGTACATAGGTGCAGTGCAGTGGTGACGTCACGAGCGGGCCCGCGCGGCGCCGCACTGCATTCACTCTACGGAACAGACGACGTGTGTATGATATGAGAGATTTACATCTCGTTTTTTTTATCAACGAAACCAAAACAAGTAACATAGCTGAAGCCAACGCCCGCAGAGGACGCCCGGGCGTAACATTACAATATTCCTTCACGAAAAATGCCAATGGAATTTTTAAGTAGTACTTGCCAAATATTAACTGGTTACATTAAGTATGTGAAATTGTTAGGAATAATAAATACATAGATGTTTTCAAGACAATAGTTAACTATCGAAGACGCGAAGCACGAAGCTCCCTGTACACACATTGACTATCGGATAACATTTCATTATTATTATTATTATTAAAGTAAAAACGCGTATAAATTTTAATCCTACGAGAATGCCGGGCGGCCACACGATCAATTTCACCTAAATTTTACTAATACTGTTCGCAAGTTCGGCCCGCGGGCAGCTCCACTTGCAACGACCATGTACACTTAAATAATATGTCCTAAGTTTCATAAATAAATCGTTATTATTTTATATTAAAAAAAAAAACATCTAACAGTTTGAACACATTCTAGCTACATATTGCTACATCGTATTACAGTAGAAACGCTATTTTATAGAAACATATTTACATTTTATATCGTACGCTAATTATTATTATAGATTCCATCGAATTATTTGTTTATCAATTAAGTTAGCTATACAACTGTTATTTATTAAGTCGCAAGCGTTGCACACGACAGGCTCCTCTTAAATAATTACATATCATAAATTAACAAAACTTAAATAAAATCATTTAAAAATATGTAAATAAAAATAATCTATAGAATAGTTGAAACCATCTAGGCTTTTGTCATTTAATATATTAAAATTTTTCAATAAACATAACTGTCGTAAAACGAATGCGATTAATAAAAGCTAGGCGTTCCACTTACGATGACAGCTGTCACAATTGTCACTGTCAAACGAGACAGCTGCGTACGTGTACAAGTTTAACAAAAATATAAATTACTATGCACTATATCAGCTGATCGATTCGTATATATATATATATATTTAAATGTCATAAAACTGTACACGAGACTAGTATTGTTTGCTCTTGTGTAACGTTGCCCGGAACAAGCGCACGCGACGCGCGTGGACTCGCGAGCCGACACATGAGCCGATACACGAGCCGACTAACCGGAGGCACACTTCTACGTAAAGCTATATATACACGCCTTGGAGAGGCACTTGGTACACAGAATACATTCCAACTGACAATAAACGCGCTTTCAGTTAGCTTCAACTTAATCGCTAGCGGTAGGAATAAAAGTAGTGTTTCATGCTTTTTCAAAACTACTCGTTACGAGTAGTTATATCCATCGCGGAGTCTGTAAACACCCACCCAGACACGGCGAGGTTTGATATATCACTATGAGAAATTTACATAAAAGTTGAAATTAAAAATAAATGACTCTTAATTCTTACAAAAAGCCAACTTCGAAAAGCGCGTATTGTTGACAGCTCGATAAACGACCGCGTACAAAAAACCATTAAAAAAACGATCTATATTATACTCTTACACGTTACTAAACAGGCGAAACTACAACGATGGAATATGATTTCAAATAACTTTACACCAGTTCACAAACCTCAAAAGTACATAATCTCTCCCGACACACTTCCACCTAGGTCGATCATTAGGCGGTTGACATCTGTCACACTGACACATGTCATGCTGACGTCGCGTCAGTACAATAGTCTTAGGTATTTTGCGTGACTAATATTTGGCAGCTGAGCGCAACAACGACCTACAGAGTTATTTGAAAACAACATTTCCTTCCTTTGAATGAACATTTAATATAAAATTTATAGGTTCATCGCGCCCTGTTATATAAACATATTATGACCATTGTTCTATACACTATTTTTGTATATATGTATATGCTTTTGTAACGATAGAAATTGTAGATTTGATTAAGTATACAGGTAATGTCGAAAACTGTACGAAAGAGTACTGTTGTTTTATCATAATATAATAGTGATGCAATATGTGTGATATAAGCGAGACATTTCCACTTAAAAGTTACTTAAACATAATAAATGTTTTTCTCATATGCCATCAGTGCTACCAGATCGATCGTGAATATGGCAACACAGTTGGAATGAAATATTATTTGATAACCAATACATTTGCTAAATAAAATGTATAAAAAAAGGAATACATTTATTTTTATTTAATTATTTTATACTGCCATTTTAATGGTGTAAAATTTTAATTACTGGGTTATCATGTTAATGAGCTTTAATGAGTCGTTTTAACAGATTAAGCCCATAGCCTGAAATGATTTCTACCAAGAACGGTTAATTTATATAATATTAAATGCATATGGTTCGTTAAAATTAGATAATTGGTGAACAACAATACAACAATCATTTCAGTTGATTGTGCTTTATAAGATTGATTTCAGTTTAATATAGTTGGCGTCAGATTGCTTAACGGAAAGACTATATATTTAAATGTATTTATAATTAGAATGGCGCGCTGCTGATGCTAATATTAAGGTACTTTCACAAAGACTACATTTCAGCGCCTTCACAGTGAAAAGGTTTGAGCTATCACAAACACTGTAAAGTTTAGTCTGCCCGTTGACCACTAACTATATTGTTAAGATTCCGTTTGCTAATGCCACAAGCCGACCGAGCGCGGCGTGGCGTGGCGTGGCGTGGCGTGGCGTGGCGTGGCGTGGCGTGGCGGGGCGTTTCGGCCAGTTTGTGCGCACTAAGATCCTTTATCAATTATCTACAATATCAACATTTATTAATGGGCTTTTAAAACACATTACTTTTGTTTACAGAACAACAGAATATAAATTTAATTAACACGCGTCGATTTTTTAATAATTCTTAATCAAATTTGTAAGGGCTACTTGTTTTATGATAAGTTTGTATAAATAAATCAATTATTTTAAAATTATTTCACTAAAATCATCGAAAAATATTTAGGGCGTAAACGTTTAGAATGAAATTCATTAAAACAATTACTTCTAGTTTACAGAGGGAAGAGGATTTCAAGATAAAATCGTTGTCAGTTTGGAATCTGAACGGTTTTTTAAATTGAGATTGGATGATGGTGAGACAGTAATCAAAGTAGAGGTAAATGAAATGTATAGAGTAATCGCATAATATGCTTGAAATAATAAAGAGAAAACAAAATAGTTATAATGTACTGAGCTGCCATCCAGTTCGCCCCAGCCACGGTGTGACAATTCAGGTCATGTCCAAAGGGTAAAGTTATGCCGGCCGCGGTCTAGATCATCACAAAAATTAAAAGTACATTAATAACAAACATTATTGTATTTTAAAACAAATAGCCCATCCCTATCTAGTATTGTTTCCTAAAGTTTCTGCACTAGGCTAGTAGATGTACATTGCCGCTGTTGTTAATGTCTTCAGTCGATCGGTAGATGGCGTTGTTCAGTCACGTCGTAGTTTCCTCGAGTGTTCACACTATATCGATAGAGGGCGTTGTACAGCCGTTCATGTCTTGTAGTATCTACATTCGTCGGTAGATGTCGTTGTCCAGTACGGCACGGCCCTCAGGGTCCTCGAGTATGTACAGTCGGTCAGCAGATGTCCCCGGGCGATGCGGCCTAGTTGATGACGTTGTGTCAGGAGGCAGCGTGGTCGTGGTGCACGCGGGCGGCGCGGTCGGTGCCGGTGGTCAGTAGATTTGCGAACTCCACCTCCAAGATCTGCCGCGCCTGGGGAGCGGACACGGCTGTAGTAACCCTTAGGCTCTTAGCTACACGGGTCCAGTAGCTGTGACACTGAACGAGTCGCATGATTGTTTTGCGCAAGAAGACTAATACTTTTTTGATTTCCTTCATGTGCCCGTGCTTGTGTCGTTTGTGTATTGATCAGTCAGTGAGCTGTGATAATGACTCGTTTATTTCGGACAACATACAGTGAAAACTTTGAAAATCAGGCCAAAAAATACAGGCGATTGTATGTATATTGACACAGATGAGCAAGTGTTTGGCCTACCTAATGTTAAGTTGTTACCATGGCTCCCGGTCATGAAATTTTTACTGGTGGTAGGACGTCTTGAGTCCGCACGGGTAGGTACCATCGCCCTGCCTATTTCTGCCGTGAAGCAGTAATGCGTTTCGGTTTGAAGGGTGGGGCAGCCGTTGTAACTATACTGAAACCTTAGAACTTATATCTCAAGGTGGGTGGCAGCATTTACGTTGTAGGTATATGGCCTCCGGTAACCATTTAATATCAGATGGGCCGTGAGCTCGTCCACCCACCTAAGCAATAAAAAAAAGTGATACTACGAAGCATCTTCTATAAGAGGTGGACTAGATCAGAGCGCGCGTTTTTTGTTTCCTACTTAAGCTGGGAGCCTTGAGAGGCTATTTCAGCGTAACCTTGACTAGTAGGTGAGCTCACGGGGCTCAAACCTGACGACGTTGCTAACACGCACCCTAGCAAGAGCCGTGCTTCGCAGAATCTACCACCGGATCGGAAACTGATCTGACCTGATCGCGACCCACTGAGAAGATCCGGTGAGAAACTCAGTGGGCTGTCTGAGGGTGTGCGCGCGGTGGTCGTACCTGCGTGTTCTGCGTGGGGATCTGCAGCGCCAGCGCCATGCTGTTGGCGTCGAAGCTGTCGTCGAGCGCGATGAGGGCGCCGTGCACCCCGCTCTCCGACAGGTTGTTCGCGTACTCCTGCAGACATACACGGGTGAGGCCTTGCAAGGTGTGGGCACCCTCACCCCCCCCCCCCCCTCGAGGATAGGAAGGCAGTTGGTACCCGTTATGGGAAATATCCGTTGTTACAGTGTGCTTTAAATTAAATCTGTCGCTATTATTGGTGACCATAGTCACTCGCCACAAAACTTTTCTACACACGACGGGGGATGTGCGCACTCTCAGCACGGATTGAAAAACTTATACAATGCAAGTACTTCTAAACTCTCTTTTTTTATTTTAATACAGTTTGTTCGGGTCCTTATATCATACTTATCAGTTGTTTATGAATTTTCATTGTTGATCCCTCACTAACTTTACTGGTGTTAGGATGTCTTGTGAGTCCGCACGGGTAAGTACCATCACCCCGCCTATTTCTGCCATGGAACAGTATTGCGTTTCGGTTTGATGGGTGGGGCATCCGTTGTAACTATACTGAGATTTTAGAACTCATGTCTCAAGGTGGGTGGTGTATTTACGTTGTAGATGTCTATCGGCTCCAGTGAGTTCGTCCGTCGCGCATACCTTGAGGTTGATGTGGTGCAGCCACCGCTGCAAGCGCTCGTTGGTCCACACCAGCACGTCCCGCGCGCCGCCCCCCTCGGCCGCCCGGCGCCGCTCCTCCAGCGCGCGCACGCTGTAGCCCACGCGCTTCAGGCACGCCACGCCGAAGTGCAGCGACGTCCTGCGGCACACACACAGCGTCACGACACGCTCCCCCCGCCCCCAACCGCCCCCACCCCGCCCCCAACCGCCCCCACCCCGCCGCCGCGACACTTACCTGTGGAAGCTGTCAACCATCTTGAGCTGTGTCCGCAGGTCCCGCTTGGTGAGGTGCTCCAGCATGCGGGCGTCGACCAGGCACTCCATGAAGGTAGTTCTGTACTGCGGCAGACCTGGAACGAACACGAGTTGCAGCGCCCGCAGCCCGGGGGACGAGCACACAGCTCCGTACAAGTTACTACGCTACAGTACCTAGCGAGGGCAGCCACACGTTCCCGATCCACTCGTGGTTCATGTCCCCGAAGGCAAGCGCGGCGCAGGCCGTGCCCCGGGGCGCCGACGGTGACGTCAGCGACACCATCTCCTGGATGGCCAGGCGCAGCTTCAGCCGGTGCAGCGGGTTGCTGATGCCTGGAGCCACACGAGCTGCGTCACTAGTGCACTACACAGCGCTTTCACACGCGGGGACTGGATGATATCGGCGTCATGTTGTTGTAAGCCTGGATGGCTCAGTTTATCAGAGGAAGTATGACAGTAGCCCCGTTGATTGACGGCGGAAGGTTAGCGTGGTGTGGATATGTGATGCGTAGAGGGGAGATACATGTGACTAGGAGATGTATGGAAATTATAGTGCAAGGTAGAGGGGGAAGAGATCGACCGAAGAAGGCATGGATGGAATGTGTGAATGACGATATGAGAGAGAGCGGAGTAGTGAGTGTTGAGATGACGGCTGATAGTGGGATAAAGTGGAGACATAGAGTAATGATGCCAGGATAGTGAGGTGGGCGCGGCGTACCGATCTCCCGCTGTATCTCCTGGTCGGAGAGCGCGGACATGATGGCGCCGGACTTGACGTTGGCGCGGCAGGCGGCCACGTACCAGGCCGGCATGCCCACCCACAGCTCCAGCCACGCCACCACGGTGGGCCCGTTCCACAGCGCGAAGGGCGTGCCGGCCCGCATGGCCTCGCCCAGCAGCTCGTGGCGGTAGTCGCGGTCCCTGCGCCACCAGAGAGTGTTCGGTATGATGCAGTCACAACATAGTCACATTGTATCGACGGGTGAAGGGCTATTTGGTTAAAGCGACATTTAACTTTGTAATTAAAGGTGCGTTTAGTTGGTATTGTAGCATTAACAGTTCGATATTTTTAATTGATTTTCAATTTTTAATTGATTTTTTAACGGCCGTCTGGCGTAGTGGTAAGTGACATGGTCACTACACAAGGGGGTTGCGGGTTCGAATCCCGCCAAGGGAAGATATTTGTATGATAAATATAAATGTCTTTTCCAGGGTTATGGATGTATATTAAATATATGTATGTGTATAATAAAAATCTTACATTTATTTCCATTATCTGGTACCTGTAACACAAGTTCTTTACGAACTTATCACGGGACCAGTTAACGTGACGTGATTGTTAGTAAATATTTATTTATTTATTTATTTATTTATTTAATTAAGTTTACTTCATTCAAGTAGCTGAAAAAGTTTTTTTTATAATATTTTTTCCAAACTTTAACTGACTCTCCTATAAAATTGCAATAATGTCGCTTAAACCAAACAGCCTTTGACCCTTCAATATGTAACATGTCATCTACGTTATATGTAGCTCTGTGCATTAACAAATGTAGTTTTTAAAACAATTGTAAATACGAATTCAAAATTGAATCAAAGTCATTAAATTTGTAAACAGAAACATGAACCAAAAAAAAACTATAGTCTAAAACTGACTTGGACTTAGACCTGGTGTACTCCTGGTGCTGGAGCGGCACGTGGGCGAGGTCGGAGGGGGGCGCGTCGTCGGCTAGGGAGGACAGCCCCAGCGACGACGCGGACGACAGCGAGCGCGACCCCTGCCCCTGCGGACACTGGACCGGTGTAGTGCCACTCAGTTCCTTGCTATTCCAACTTTATTTTATTTCCCTACCTATGCTGATAGCCTTGAGGGGCTATTTCAGCTTCGCCCTAACTTGTAGGTGAGCTCTCGGGGCTCAAACCGGAGTGGTGCTAACACTGGCCCTAGCAAGAGCCGTGCTTCGCAGAATCTTCCACCGGATCGGAAAAGCGACCCACTGAGAAGATCCGGCGAGAAACACAGTGTGTACAGGTTAATTCGCTCGTCGAGTCCTTCGTCGCAAGCGACGTGTTCGACGAGGACGGTGACCGGAGCCAACATTATTTTGTTTACAGTTGTTATATGTGTGCATCAGTATCGCCATCTCGCTCGTCGGTACCGCGCGAGAGTGAGACGGGAGATCAGGAGGGACAATACAATTGACAATAATATTTTTTTATTTATATTTATAATTTGTAATTTTGTTCTCCAAAGCTATGTTTTATTATTAGCTATTATTAATATGGGTTTGCTGAGTGCATAATAATATACCATTTAGATTGCAATCCCGATTTGATCTAGGTACTACTTGTACGATTTAGTTAATATGTACTGTAACGATTGTAATTTGTTTTGTACTGTAAATATTGTCAAAGTGCAGACATACTGAGTGCAGTTGCTCTGAGTATTCGACGACAAATACCCTGTTATTTGTTCCAATATTTCAAATTATAATCGGTTCTACATCCATACAACACTCAGCAGATATATTTATAACTATATATAGGGTGTGATTTTGTTAACATAGACCAACATTGAAGAAATATTCGCGACGTATGAGACTTGAGAAGAGATGATGGAGAGGCGTACCGGTAATCCCCCCTTCTCCTTTTTACTGAACAGCCTCCCGAGTGAGCTTTTGATGCCGCGTTTCTTCTGCTGGTGCATGGAGGCGATGGAGACGGCGGAGGAGGCGGACGTGACGCCGCGCGGCGCTCCGCCCCACGGTCCCGCGGCGGCCCCCAGGGACTCCTGGCTCGAGCTGCGACCACGACACACGTGTATAAGGGGACCGTTTTATTGTTGGCGCGTCACGAAGTGGGGGACCGTGTAGGAGCTGCGCGGGGGGTTGTACGTGCGGCAACATGACGCGGGGTCTACGTAGGGGTGCGGCTGTGATCTATACAACGTGTTACAAAATACCCCGTAAAAAATATAATTAATTATCGAAGATAAATTTTTTGTCAACCCTACCCCAAGCTGTCATGTTAAAGATTATTTAACAGAATGGCCTACGTACCTATTTTACCTAATAATTGTCTACTTTAATAGTTTTTCTATTTTTCATTCATATATGTTTGCTACCTCAATACAAGGATGTCATTATACTCAAGTACTTGTCGTACTTGTCAAAATTTTTGTCGTTCCGTGTATAAAGTAGAAATGTAGGTACATTCTGCGTAGTTTACTCTTGAATTTTACTGAAATAGGGTTTGCACATCAGTGAAAATAATAATATTTTTTTAATTTTTTTGGGGTGTGTAATACAGCGTTACTACGGTTCCTAAATATTGTGAATGGACTCGTTATAAGGCCCCATTTAACCTCCTTTCAACTTTACGGGTTGTTTTGTAACACCTTGTATATCAACGGGTGAAAGACTATTTGGTTTAAGTGACATTTCGTGTAATATGCAACATCCATCTTTGTAATTAAACATGTGTTTTATTTTATATCATAAATCAACAGTTCGATGTTTTTAATTGAACTTCAATTAAGTTTACGCCATTCAAATAGCTAAAAGATTTTTTTTGTCATGAAGTAAACAGTTTTCCAAATTTTTAACATTAAATGGTTCTTCTGTAACATTGCAAAAATGTTGCTTAAACAAAATAGCTTTTCACCCGTCTATATATAATATATAATTCATGTTTAACATTTAATAATAGAGGTATATCACGCTTATATAGTACTTACATAAAAACAAACATCATTAAGTTTGGTAAAGCTGAATATTAAACATTACTTTTAGCGCTATCGAATGGAGAATTTGGTCACGACATTGACATAACATCATTGCGTTGTGTTATGAAAGAAATTTATAAACTACATGCGACTGGCGTCGATACGTAGGGCGATCTACTAAACAACTTCTAGCTTATGCAGCTTGACTTCAATAGCTTCGTCTAAAATGGAATTACCAAGCAGCCGGTGCGGGCGGGGACACACGTAGGAACAATAAAGACGTACCAGCGCGACCAAGCAGTCACCGACACATAGCTGCGGGTTCAGTCGACGACAAAACATTAGTAATTCCATTTTAAAATTATTTTATTGATTTGTTAACGTTTACACTGACAAAATGTATTGCTTTGTTTAAAACTAAAAACGACTTTTAAATTTATAGTAGAACTGTGTATCTTAGGTTACGGACACGTCGGCGTGCAAACCGAGAGTACCCCTCCGAGGCACGGGGGGCGGAGTGCCGCGCGGCCCCGCTCCGAGCCCGCCGCTGTTTTGCGGCAGAAAAAGCTCAAGTCAGAAACGTTTCTTTGGACAAAACGAGTCTCCCGTGACCGCTAGACAGGTTTAAGCCAGTACGCAGCGTCACATGTAGCTGGCCGAGCGGCCCGGGCCCGGGTGGTGGAGCAGGTAGTTGTCCAGGACTCGGTACAGACTGGACTTGGGGCACAGAGGGTGCGGGACGTAGTTGATGCGGCTGTCCGGGCAGTCGCACCGGCCCAGCCGTGCCTCGGGGGGGCGGCGCGGGGGCGCGGGGGGACACCTGTGCATGGGGATCCGGGCGAGGCTCGTTGACATCATCGCGCTCCTGGGCGGCGTGCAAATGTAAATACACTCACTCAGTATCTTAACGTATGATAAAAGTTCGCAATTAATGCTAAATGCTCACAGTTGTTCACGACAGGTCACGGGCGTCAGTATCAGATACTCACGAATCATAGGGCGGTTGATAGTGTGCGCGCAGACGATCCCGCTCAGCGTGCAGCGCCCGCGCCGCCCGCTCCAGGCGCAGGGAACGCGCCGTCAGCGGAGACTCCGCCCCTTCAGACCCCGCGGCCACCCCGCCCAGCGACACCGCGCTCTCCTCGCACAGCTGCAACTGGAACGGCCGCGGTACCACAAGTGAGCATCGATCGATCTCGTACTTATGTCATGTCGGCACAGAACTGTAGCAATCCTTATCAGAGACAGTTTATGTACTTAAATATCTCATTTGAAATGTCCGTGTGACTGGCTAGTGAGCGCGGTGCTGTATATTGTGTTAAGCGACTCCCACCGGGAGACCTCATTGGGTTAGAAACAATATAATATACAATGCTACTTCTACACAATGTTACTTGTACGTGGCCGCACACAAGCTAGCAACAGGGGTTCGACAAAAGGCAGTGCAGTGCTTCACGCGGCGGAACACGCACGCATTCTTTATTACAGAGGTACGTGTACGGTCAATCTGAGGGTAAGCTGACTTACAGTGCACTGGCTACGACACACACACACACAGAGCAGTAAGCGGTAAGTAGTAATGTCAGTACGTAGAGCGGGGTGTGGTCCCGACGCACCTGGCTGGCGGGCAGGCTGTCGGCGGCGGGGGGAGGGGGCGGCGCGCGGTAGTGCGCGGGGGACATCGCCGCCGGCGCCTGCGGGGGGAGGGGGGACAGACTGCACTACCGCTGCGGGCACCATTGCGGGCGCAGCGCGGGCCGACACGCAATGGACAGCTCGCACACGTGACGTGCGTTACATAGTCGTCAGAGCCACTACCTGGCTTTAATGTCCATGTTTGTAAACTTTTTTTCTTCTACCTATTCTGATAGCCCTGAGGGTGTAGGTGATCTCACGGGGTCAAACCAGGTGTATTGCTAACATCTACCACCGGATCGGAAATGCAAGCCACTGAGAAGATCCGGCGAGAAACTCAGTGGACTTTGTCCGTGGGTTAATTTACTCGTCGAGCCCTTTGTTGCAAGCGACCGGTTCGACGAGGACTGTGACCGGTTTGTGAACACAAAACCTAAATGTTTATATATGTCTGTAGGTCACCGCAGACCGACTGTGTGCGATGGTCACTCTCTGCTCCTATTGAGTATATTCGAACTTGGTAGATCAAGTTCCAACGAGGTCAAGCCACTTCAACATATTGTACGAGTAATGTTATTTATAGATTAATTTTTGTTTTATTCTCGAATGCACCTCACGTTAGTTTGAATGCGCAATGTAAGAGGGCGCTAGGTCCGGGTACTCACGGTGTGGAACTTGTGGTGCGGCGCGAGGTGCGGGCGCGAGGGGGAGGCGGCGGGCGGGGGAGAGTCGCTGCGGCGCGACACCACGTTCATGTGCTCGTAGCTGCCGACCTGCGGGGGGCGCGGGAAGTCCGACTTTTAACTAACATTTTGATGGTCTGTCTATCGATCAGAAGATACAAGCGTTATATCGACACCGGCTGCCGCGTCGCTACAACGATATCCAAGTGAGAGATACAGGAGAGGATTCTCACCCTGGACTCCAGTTCTTCAGCGCGCGCTTCAGTGCTTTGCTTCTCTTCCTGTATGAGCCTTATCTCGGTGTTGATGGCGTCCAGCTGTTCCTGCAGCATGAGCGCCAGGGCCGCGGCGTCCGTGTGTCCGCCCTCTACGCCGCCGTCGGATTCGTCGTTCTGACAGTCATAGAATATATTGAACTACACAAGAAGCGACTACAGCTTTACTTAACTTTGCTCACGAACTTCGGCATTGTGATGCATCCCTGTCGTCTGATAATGAAGCCTTACTCATGAACCAAATGTTCTATGGATAAATTAGTAGCCATCTCAGTACTTATCGACCATCGCAACTCATTTCTTCAAGTCCTTAGGGCCCGGTGCCGCCGTAACTACATACTTAACAATTGTTCACGAATGACTTCTACGATGAAGGAACAAAAATCAGATCCGAAAAATTATAATTTGCGTAATTACTCGTGATTAGGCGTCTTTTGAGCCCGCAAGGATAGGTACCACCAACCTGCCTATATCTACCACGAAGCAGTAACGTGTTTCGGTTTGAAGGGCGGGACATCCTTTCTATTACAAACTGTGAGACTTCGATCGCAGATCTCAAGAGACTGACCACTCAACATTAGACGGGCCGTGAGGTCATTCACCACACTTAAGAACAATTACTGATTATGACGAGACACTGGGACCCACCTCCGCGTCGCTGGAGACGTCGAACTGTTGCTGTACGTTGGCCAGCACGTGCGCCTGCTGCAGCTTCTCCCAGGAGCCGTCCAGCTGGAAGCCAAGCAATACGTACAGCCGAGCCGGCCGAGTGGCAACCCTATTTACATTCGTGACCACCGACAAAGAGGTTGATGCTATTTTGCACCATTAATCGATTGTATGATTGATGTCAATTCTGATTTCCTAATTAATTGCATTTGAATACGTTTATTGATTAAAATTTCAAATAAGCGATTCGTAGTCATTCAAAAAAAATATGTGTTTAGAAATTAATATTATACTTAGATATAATGTAATCGTTAGTAATATAATACAGATTGATTGATATTATAATAAACAATGACGTCATTATTCATGACATACAAACATATAAAACTTTCTTTGTTGGAAACGAGACAAAACATACGCTCTAAATACTACAGAAAAACTATAATCCCTAAGACTGCAAGCCGAACCAATGTATTTATTTACATTATATCCTAAATGTTTAGTTTTAGAATTAGTTTAGACTATTTAACTGCCAATTATACTAGACCTAAGTTATTATAGTCTTTCGTTATGTGGCGGTAGCTATCACAGAGCATAAGATATTTGATAGACGCCTGAATCTCACAACATTTTCAAGATAAGTTTGCATATATACAAGTTTCGAACAACAACATTTGGACCGTCGGTCTTCCGAGCAATATCACCCGCTCGGTGGAAGATCTTCTCTCATATATTCACGTATACCTCATCATATACTCACGAAAAACTATAATCCTAAAGAGTGCAAGCCGCATCTATCTATTTATTTACCTTATATCCTAAGCGTTCCGTTTTAGTTTTAACTAGCGACCTGCCCTCGCTTCGCTTCGGAAACTTTAAATTTTATTGTTGATAGCTGGGCCCGCGATGTAACCCGCGGTTATTGTCGTACCGCGGGTGACGTCGCGAGGCGAAGCTTGTCTAGAAAAAGTAGCCTAAGTTACTCCTTATATCACCAGCTACCTATCAGTGAAAGTCCCGTCAAAATCGGTCCAGCCGTTCCAGGGATTAGCCGGAACAAACAGACAAAAGTTGTAAAAAAAATGATTTTGGTGTATGTACCGTATATATATTCACATGCATGTACTAAAAAGCGGCTATTTCAATATTACAAACAGACACATCAATTTTATTTATATGTATAGATAAACACGACCTAATTCAACTGCCTAATTATACCAGACCTAAGTTACTATGATCGTTCGTTACCTTGGCTCCGAAGAGTCCCTGTGGCGGCTGCGGGGCGCCGGGGGACAGGGAGCGGGTGAGCGCGTCCGTTTGCTGTATGTTAAACGCTATCTCTTGTTCCAGCATTTGCCGCTTCAGCTGGAATTAACATTCGTGTCAGGATCAAATGAGGTCGCTAAACTACAGTTCACTCGAGCACGTGCAAGCTCAGAGAGCTTCAAACTTACAAGCAAGGCCGTGAGCGACGCCGGCCCCTTGAAACACCATATATAAGTCTACTTATCTTCGAAATCGAACTAGGGGTGTGGAAATGAACACAACTAAAGCCGAGGAGTTCGCGGCCCGCGAGGGATACCGGAGCCCACTACAGATGTACAAGCAGACAGTGCCCAAGACCGTGTAAGGTTTCATTGCATCACGGGTCACTTGGCTCTACCCAGGGACGTGAGGTCGAAATTCAACTAAAATCAAGTAACGGCTGTCCCACCCTTCAAGCCGGCATGACTGATGAATGACTGCTTCGCGGCAGAAATGTGCAGGATGGCAGCCCTAGGGCCAGGGTCACATGTTCTACACCACATCTACTCACATAGCTAAAATAACGGCTTGAATTGCCTGAAATATATGTTCTCGTTACTTGTTCAGTCTCCATTCTCCACTTGGCGAGTTCCTTGAGGATCTCCTGCTTCTCCGCCATCAGCTCGTCGGCGTACTTTCTAGTCTTCTCCAGCTCCTGGGTGAGGGCGTTCTTCTCGTCCAACGCATGCATCCGTTCTTTCAAGTGGACTTGTAATCTGGAAGATTAATGTAGGATTGGTAAGAACGGAACGTTTGAAAAGAGTGTGGAACGGAGCGTGAATGAAGGAAAATAGTAAGAAAGGGAAAGAGAATGACGGAGTAGCAATATGGCGAAGATAATTAAGGCTTAAAAAAGTGTTAGATTTAAAAAAATATATAATAAAGAAGATTTTGAACAGTGGAAATATTGTTTGATGCGCTGCGATCCCTCATTTTTTTTTTTATAGCTTAGATGGGTAGACACGAGCTCACAGTCCCCCTGATCTTAAATGGTTACTGGAGCCCATAGACATCTACAACGTAAATGCGCCACCCACCTTGAGATATAAATTCTAAGGTCTCAAGTAAAGTTACAACGGCTGCCCCGCCCTTCAAACCGAAACGGATTACTGCTTCACGGCAAAACAACAATATAACAAAATAATATACACGTTTTAGGTCACAAAACAATAATATCGTGTTTTGAATTTCCTCATATCGTCTTTTCGCATTAAAAGTGTATATTCAAATAAAAGTGTACAGTCTAAAAATATTCGAAATTGAGTTAATATGCGGATACATTTGGTATCACCAGTATTTTTCTCATAAATACTGTTAAAAGTGCGTAGTTTCGTTTTTTGTTTTTTTTTTGTTTACCATGTTTTGACTACTATTAACAAAATTAATACATAATTTTATCTTACTTTAAAAGACAGGTAATGTAACTGGTAAATAATAAAAGTTGCAAAGATGATTAATATTGAAAATATCACATGTTTTAATCTTTTAAAACACTCTCCTGTAAAATTAGTAAGTTTTGAGATTATACAGTTTTAATGCGAGAAGACGTATGTAGTATATTTATTTTGATGTACTCTTGGCTGTGTGCGGTGAGGGTGAGGGGTGCGCGGGTGGCGGGGCGCGGTACCTGTCGTTGGACTCGGAGAGCAGCTTGTCGACTGTAGCAGACAGCCTGGTGTTGTGCTCCTCGTTCATGCGGAGGCGCTGGTTGAGCCGCACCAGCTCCGCGTTCTTCTCCTCGACGCTGGCCTCCAGCCGCTGGATCCTGTCCTCGGCCGAGCCGTGGCGCTCCTGCGCCTGGGAGGGAAGTTTCTTTAAATTATTTCGTAAGCTGTACTTGCCATTCCGAATTCATGATTTGTTTGTATTCTTAGCGAATCTATGAAGGTTTATTGATTCGGGCAGCGTCCAGATCCGCAGGGTTCTCATTTGCTCGTTCAGCGTCAACGAAAGCCGACCCACAAAACTAAGTGCTCCGTGGCTACGAGAAAACTTAGCCATTTGTCGGCGCCAATATAAGCATAGGCAGGCAGCGGCTTGACTCTGCCCCTGGCACTGCTGACGTCCATGGGCGACGGTAACCGCTCACCATGAGGTGGGCCATATGCTCGTATGCCTACACGAGCAATAAAAAAACCATCATGGCNTCAGCGTCAACGAAAGCCGACCCACAAAACTAAGTGCTCCGTGGCTACGAGAAAACTTAGCCATTTGTCGGCGCCAATATAAGCATAGGCAGGCAGCGGCTTGACTCTGCCCCTGGCACTGCTGACGTCCATGGGCGACGGTAACCGCTCACCATGAGGTGGGCCATATGCTCGTATGCCTACACGAGCAATAAAAAAACCATCATGGCACTAGAAGAAATATCGGCATTTGACAAACCCGACACATCAGGACGTCCCTTGGTTACGTGAGGTAGCGGTATTTTGGAACATAACGAGCCAGTCTTACTGAAAGAAGCAACTTCGCTAGTTTCTAGAAACTAAAGTATTGATTTTTTTATCGCTTAAATAGGTGGACGAGCTCACAGCCCACCTGGTGTTAAGTGGTCACTGGACCCCATAGACATCTACAGCATAAACGCGCCACCTACCTTGAGATATAAGTTCTAAGGTCTCAGTATAGTTACAACGGCTACCCCACCCTTCAAACCGAAACGCATTACTGCTTCACGGCAGATACAGGTAGGGTGTTAGTACCTACCCGTGCGGACTCACAACACGTCCTACCACCAGTTAAAAAATTACCATTTGCCAAGTCCCGGCTGTACGAGCGCACGACTCGCCTTATCGATCTGTTCGATTTAGTTTTGATTTGACAAAACTAAATCGAACAGAGCTGTGAATACGTTCTTTCACTGTAATTTAGAACTACAACAAAACAAATTATACTTACAATTAAAAAACCCATATAAAATTATTTCCTCAATTAGTTTGGACATTTCACAAATCACGCAAGATCGTCCGACCCAATTTAGGACTACCTTGTTATGGGTACCAGAGACTGACATTGATACGTTTAAATATATAAATAATAAATAACCAGACAGAAATGAGCAGACAAACCTGTTCGTAATACGAATGTTTGTCCGATGTGGGAGGGAATCGAACCCACCACCCACGGCGCAATACTCAGGGTCGCTGTTTACTGCGCCATTAAGTCAGTCTAAACTGTCTACTGTACCGGCACGCTATGATGGCCGTTTTGACGTTTGTCCACTCATGAAGTGTCGTATTAATTAGTAATTACATTTGAAGGAGCAAATGCTGTTCGTTATTGTCAATAGTGACGTGCAGTTAGTCATATAATTTATCGAATGTATTATTTTAGGACACAAAATTTATTTATTACATTGATTTCTAAACTATTTAAATTAGGGTCCCCGACCTCACGACCGCACGTTGTGTGTGCGGGCCCCGCTGCTAACAGCAGACGAGTCGCGAGCCCGTTCACTCATCGAGACCAAGTTTATTTCACTCAAATGTTCAATACACTTGTTGAGGTTTCAGTTATATTCAATCCCTCACCAGTTATTACAAAATGCCATTGAGAATGAGAATACTCATGTTTTTAACACGTTTTTGTTAGCTTCATACGTATGTTAGTATGTAACGGAATCTTTGAACATGATTTTGACCCCTTCAAAACGTCGGATTAACTCGAAATTTGGCATATTAAGGACTGATGACAATTCAATATATTAAACAGTTTGATCCGCTATCCTTACTAGGATAATCAGGATTAGCGATTTTTTGTTTTCCTGAGAACCGGAGTGTCTGCGTCAAGACCAAAACAGGAAACTACTCTCTACTAGGTGCGCCGATCACCTATTTCTCGGATAAGTTTTGAAAAATTGGAAAAAAACATTTGTAAATATTGAAATACAAATAAAAAATTAAAAATAAAATATAGTTTAAAAAAACAAAAAAAAAACGCTTTTATAGAAAATCCAACTAAAAATAGAAAATAAATTTTAATAAATAGTGTAAGAAAAAATTATCAAAATAATCCTTCTACTCATTTCTGTTCATCAAATATTTGTAACTATTGATAGCAAGCACTCTACGCTTTTGTTACAATAAAATCATTTTCTCGGCAGCAGAGGTCACGACAAACCTGGCTCAGGGCTTCCATTCTGGCTTTGAGCTGCTCTTCCATTTCCGGCAGCGAGGACATCTGGGCGAGCTTCTGCGTGGACAACTCCAGTTTCTCCTCGATGGCGGCTATCTTCTCCTCCTGGAGCTGTGGACGGTTGAGACTCGTGAGCGCGGTTCAGGACCCCCCCCCTCGGCCCGAGGGCCACACGTGATGACCTACATGCTCTAGTGAGGCTATGTGAGGCTACATGTCTGCTGTTACTGGTTATGTGGGAGATGTTAGTCACATATGATACGACTTCCTCTTGTGAAAGTTACTGACCACGTTGCTTCCCGACGTTTTTAGAGTCAGATAAAAACAGCAAGTGACAACTTCTATATATACGAAAGAAAATTCAGTCGTCGTCACGAAAAACAAATTATAATTATCCGACAGCCAACCTGTTTAGTACAATCTATACTAATATATAAATCTACAGTAGTTTTTACGGATGTTCCATTATAACTTCTGAACCATGCATCCGATGACTTGAAACTTGGTATCCATGTAGAAAATACATGTACTTAATGGATAGGCTAATATTTATATGAGTGTTGGACTCCCTACACCAGTTGCGGGGGCGTTAATGATGAGAATCTTTGTGAAGGTGAGAAATAATAATGTTAATTTTAAATGGCCAGCGAAGCAGACGGGTACAGCTAGTTTCTAATAAAAATGCCACTCTCAAATATCCNTGACTTGAAACTTGGTATCCATGTAGAAAATACATGTACTTAATGGATAGGCTAATATTTATATGAGTGTTGGACTCCCTACACCAGTTGCGGGGGCGTTAATGATGAGAATCTTTGTGAAGGTGAGAAATAATAATGTTAATTTTAAATGGCCAGCGAAGCAGACGGGTACAGCTAGTTTCTAATAAAAATGCCACTCTCAAATATCCAAGTAATCTCTAGTTCACTCTTCTTTGCGGTAGGCAGCGGCTTGGTTCTGCCCTTGGCATTGCTGAAGTCCATAGGCGACGGTAACCACTCACCATCAGGTGGGCCGTATGCTCGTCTGCCTACAAGGGCAATAAAAAAAAATCTTAATCTAAACAACATTATAGCTCATCAAGACGATTCCATCTCCAAGTACCTTAAGCTGCGCCTGTTTGTGCTGCAGCTCTTGCTCCAGCTTCTCGTTGAGGTCGTGCAGTGAGGTCGACTCGCGCTGGGCGTTAAGGTACCTCTTCTCTAAAGTTGTTATTCGCTCCTCCTGGATAGAACGTTCCACAAGTTAAAACATTAAATAGACAAGGAGGCATCAAAATTATGCTTTTTTTGGACTATAAGATCACTTGTTAACATTTCTGTAGTTGCTACGTATGAACAGTGTGTTTTTTAACGTTCTCGATAGCGTAAGAGTTGACTAAAGTTTGTTACGGAATTACGACGTTTGCCGCTAGGGGCGCTGTTCCAACTCCATACAAATTTGAGTTAGCTTTTACGCTATCGAGAACGTTAAAAATCTCGCACTAAGCACACAGTTCCTGGAGTACTTGTTTTTTTATTTTTTTATTGCTTAGATAGATAGGTGGACGAGCTCACAGCCCACCAGGTGTTAAGTGGTTACTGGAGCCCATAGACATCTACAACGTAAATGCGCCACCCATCTTGAGATATAAGTTCTAAGGTCTCAGTATAGTTACAACGGCTGCCCTACCCTTCAAACCGAAACGCATTACTGCTTCACGGCAGAAATAGGTAGGGCGGTGGTACCTACCCACGCGAACTCACAAGAGGTCCTACCACCAGTAAGAAGGTTTCACATCAAGGTTACCTGGTCCTCTTTCTGGGCGACGTTCTCGCGCAGGTCGCGCTGCAGCTTCACGCACTCCTCCTGTTTCTTGACGAGCTCCTTCTCCCCTTTGGACAGTCTCTCCTCGAGCTCAGACACTTTGTTGTTCAGCTCCGCAACGCGACGCTGCCACGAACTGAGTTCGGCGGACTGGAACATTACGGAAGTTGACAGATGAACTAATATGAAAAATAAATTTATATCGAAAAAAAAAAAAAAAACTTAGATCTGAAAATGTTATTAACATTTTATTTGGCACAAATACCCGATGATTGGTTTGTAATTAAAATTATCAAGAAAATCTTTTTAAACAAAACAAGTTAACGATTGTATCCCATCTTGATGCGAATTTAATTTAATTACATAAATCATCAGTCCATATAATTTCCATTCATTATCTTAAAAACCTCGCATGGTTGTTAAGGAACCAGATTTTCTTTGAAAGCCACGGTGGAAGCGGTCGAGATAACTCTTCCGATACTCGAAGAATACATCTTTTTTTTGTATAAATTGGATAATGGATAGACAGTCTATGGTTGTTTTTTTGTTATTTAAATGTGAGTGTTAGTATGTGAGTTGAGAGTTGTGAAGCGGCTACTACTGTTATGCTTACAAAGCGCTAAGTTTAGATCTAGTCTACGGGAACGTGAACATTTTATTTTATCTACGAACACCCACAGAATTGCAGTAAAAAGTGGGTGTCTTCAATTTGAAACGCAAGCCATTAACGACTACAACTAACCGACCAGTGTGTTTAGTGCGAGTTTTTTAACGTTCTCGATAGCGTAAAAGTTACCTGAAATTTGTATGCAACTGGAACAGCGCCCCTAGCGGCAAACATAGGCAAACGCTCCAACTCCATACAAATTATTTCCATAAAAATTGACTTAACTTTTACGCTATCGAGACCGTTAAAAAACTCGCACTAAGCACACAGGATTTCGTCGAAATTTTAATGAATAGAACAGTTTAACTATAAACTTTGGGAACTATTTATATAATACTCTTCATTAAACATCCGAAACCATTGAATAATTAGCTAAAAGCAGTTAGCAACAAACGATTTATGTCCCGCTATAAAATGGCGTTCGCTAGATGACATTACAGAATGTCAAAATAAAAGTTTGACGGTTAAATGTTGATGATCACAATTTTGGATTATTAATTGGATTATTTAATACGTTTGCATAACCGAAGCAGCGATATTTAATAACATTTCATAAGACGGCGACAGGATGTTAGCAGCTCGAAATTATTGTTAATGGCTTAGTTACGTATCTTGATAGCGAACGTAATCTCGATGGACAAAGAACATACTTCTAGAAAACAAAATCTGTTAGGGAACATTTAAGTATCAATTTACTGGCAATTTAAGTAGTGTTGTGATAAAGAGTTTATCTTTAAAGAAACTATTTGAACACTAACAGAAAAAAAAAACATCATTTTTTTCAACAGATTTAAAATCATTTATACGTTAGATGTTATCTACAAAGTCATTATTGAGTTTTACTTTTTAAAATGGCCATATAGCAAAACTTCATTATATTGAAGTTAATCTTAAGTCATAAGTCGCCGAGCTCCAAGCTCTATTGTAACCGGGGCAGATGATCTAACTTATTTAATTCATAGTCATAGAGATCGCTATCGCGACACGTAACCGAGGCAAGTTAGATACAGTATAAGTTACACATTCTCAGCTTGCTTGTGTCAGTCTAACCTGTTTGGCGACCGTGTTTTGTAGATCAGTGATTTTCCGGCAGCTTTCCGTTTCGCCGTTCACTGTTTGTTCCTGCGTCGACCATCAAATGATTCAGAGATAGTTTAATGTAGATTCTTTTTTTTTTCTGGTTTTACTCAATCATATCATTGTAGTCATATTGTGTCTGTCTTTGTAGTAGATTTTGATTAAATTAAATCTATAGCCAATTAAAATAAGCGTAATTGAGTAAAATCCATAACAATAATATAGAACATACCATCATTTGGAGACATGAATATTCTAAGTCAAATAAGGTTAATCATTCAATACTTGTGATTTGGAGCACATTGCTTTGCGCCCCCCCCCCCTGGTTATCATTTGATCTTAAGGCGATCTCAGCCGTCCTCCTCGACATGAGCATCTTAACATTTTTACGGTCTCAAATGACGGAACATCCTTTATCTCTAGCTAACACCGATCACTATACATCTAAATGTGCGCTTTAAAATTACGATTAAAAAAGCTCTGCCTATTTTAATATTTAAAAAGATGTTTTATTTGACAACAGATTATCGTTTTTTTTTTGTTTAGTATCTTTCGGCGAGCTTTAATGTTTACAAGAAAACAATTATCACAGCAATTTTTTTTATAAGAAAAAGTCGATTAAATGTTATATCGAGGGGTGCAAGATTTCTTGAACTAAGCGACATTTCGCCTACTGTGGAACATTTATCTTTGTAATTAAATGTGCGTTTACTCCATTCAAATAGCTGAAGAAGTTTTTTGTTACGATTTTTATCAAAAATTGTATCTTTAAAAGGCTTCTCCTGTAAAGTTACAAAAATGTTGCTTAAACTAAATAGTCTTTCAACCCCTCGATATATTCATCAGAGATTATGGATGTGCTCGTCCGAAGACTGGGCCTGGACTGGACACCAGTGACAACTAAATATGTCAAGGACTCAATAGGAGCATCTGATAAGCCAACCCGACGATAAGTTGTCAAAGTACAAACTTCAAGAAACTACATTCATTTTAAAACGCACATATACACTTGTAACACATTAAAAGCAGTTTGTGTCGTTCATGTCACTAAAATTGTCCACATTACTGTCAGTCTTTAACTATCATTAACAAAAGTCCCGATATGCGTTAAAATAAATAGAGAACATAGTGAAACGTTCCCCGTATCGAACCTGTTACCTCTTGAACGAGACCCACGAAGCAGTAGGGATCAAGAGGGTAATAATCAACAACAATTATATTACGTTTGTATAGTTCGAACAGTGTGCTTAGTGCGAGTTTTTTTAACTTCTCGATCGCGTAAAAGTTCGCGTCCCTAGGGGAAAACGAAGGGAAGCTGTTCCAGCTTCATACAAATGTGAGTTAACTTTTACGTCATCGAGAACGTTAACGTACTCGCACTTGGCAAAGTGATAACACAACAGACGTGTTACAAGTGTTGTTCAATTCAAATTATTTACATTTACGTTTCGTTAGTGTTTACTGTTACTGTTTCGAACAAGTGTAATACGTAATTTAGATCGAATGATTATTTTATAAAACGTTTTCTAACGCATTCTATGATGCTATCAGATTAATTTATCACACAAATAATGTATCGTAGTGTGTAGCTTAGCACATTTCCCCCACAGCCGATCTGTGCTCGACGGCCAACGTAAGGATATTACACTGAACATCAATAAAATAGAATGTAACTAATAGAAAAGCATTTAATCTCTCAGTTTAATTCGTGATAAGGACTCGTCGTCACTGAAAATTTTTTAGTACTTCAACGAAGCTGTTTTAAACATAAAACTTTAAGCACAATAGTACTATATAATTGATTCGAAATTATTAATTTGTTTATTTATTTTGGTAAGTGGTTACCGTCGCCCATGGACTTCAGCAATACCAGGGGCATAGCCAAGCCGCTGCATACCGCTCATGCTCCATAAAGCTACACTTATTTTATTATCGCGTGATTTCGTTACATTACAAGTTACAGTTTACAACGGGATTCCTCGTGACAACTGATCTGTCAGAGTCTGAGTCGCGGTAGATCCCGGCGCTCGTGTTGCCCGCGGGCACTCTCACTCTCACCTTAGTCTGCGGCTGCTCGCCATTCTGGTCGGGGGAGCCGGTTGGCGCGGTCCCGTTCTCCTTCGGCTTCTCGCTGTCCTGCGCGCTCGACGACTTGTACTGCTGCAACTGTTGAGGGCGCGACACAGGAGAGAACTCTGTACTATTTGTTGTTTTTAAGCGTGGCATTAAACGAGAAAATGGGTTTTCCATTCTTCCCTCACGATTCATTTGCTACTTCTAGGTATAAGGAGGGATATTGGTTGGAGGCTTACATGGGTGGACGAGCTCACGGCCCACCTGGCGTGTTAAGTGGTTACCGGAGCCCATAGACATCTACAACGTAAATGCCGCCACCCACCTTGAGACATGAGTACTAAGGTCTCACTTGTAACAATACAACGGCTGCCCTGCCTTTCAAACCGATACGCATTACTGCTTCACGGTAGAAATAGGCAGGGTGATGGTTTTTTTAAATATAATGTATTAAGCCTGCCCAGCAAGTAATTCTTTGGACTTTTTTACTGCAACCGTTAGCAGTTTTCGACATCTGCATCCTTAACCCTATTTGGTGCATATTTAATAATATTTTCTATAGTATCTTAAATAGATTCGTTATTACAATTCGCTCATTTCACAACTAAATGATGTCGGTATCTGTAGTCGTGTTAGCGTTTAGTCAGAGTGCATTGTGCAGACTGGTAATGTATTATGATGACGATTGAAATATCTTACTTCTTCTTTGGTTAACGCCAATTCTTCTTCTAAGGCTGTATTCCTCTCTAACGCGACGCGTAGTCGTTCTCGAACCTGGAATTTTTATAAATCATCCATTCAGCCACCAGCCACCATTCATTATTTTAAATAAAGTACGAGCCAAACACGCATTTGCTAAAAGTGAAGTTCCATACAAAAAACGGAGATATACTCCATCTGCTAATCGAATTACTTCTGTTATCATTGCGAACGTACTCCTACATTGTGCTCAATACAGTTAGGTACTTGCACGAGCCTTAGTGTGTTCAGCTGAGCAAATAAATATCGTTTTCCATTTTAAGATTATCTCATCGTTTCGGCTTTTAACGCGGTATCCATACGAACGAAATGGAACCTATGGGATACGAATTCAGTTATAAATTGAAATGATAAGAAATCTAACCTTTTCGTCTAAAGCTTTGTGATGTTCGAATAAGCTCTTGAGAGCTTTGAGCACCTCCACCTCTGACGAGACCCCGGACTGTGCCGCCGCCTGCCTCTTCACCACCGTCATGCGCAACGAGCGCTCGTGTCGCGACACCAGACATTCTAGATGCTCTAGCAGTAACTGGAAATAACAATGATACGATACGAATTAGTTTGATGGACTTTTTTAACGCTGTAGTTGGCTAGATGCGCGGAAATGCTATTAATGTATAGTAATCTACATACTGTAAGTACATATGAGGCCGTCAGCGCAAAAGTGGCTTAAACTTACCCTAGTTAGTATAGAGGCAATTAGGTTTGAATTTTCATCAATTTGAATTTGAATAGGCAAAAAAACAATACAAAAATATTGTTTTGCAAAAATAATGTTTACAAAGCTATCTGTTATCTATGGGCGAAACTATGGATAGGCCGGTTTTGCATCAAAATTTATTATATTTTAAATAAATTCCAATATACATATAAGCTAGAATATAAAAAATTGTGGGTTAGGCCACTTTTGCGCCGACGGCCTTATATGTATAAGTATGTGTCTAATGTATGTAATGGTAGTATACCGCTAGATGTCGGGGACACGGAACATTCATTATAGTGAACTTTGGCGCGGTTTGTCGCCAGCATTGGATATCTACAGGCTGATGATAATGATGATATTGAGGTCGAGACCGCCTAAATATAAATCAACGCATATGATGTCTTTTGAGTCTTTTGATTGGGGTTTCAATTGCCTAGCCTTCAAATCGAAGTTTTCATAAACTTCGAGGTCGTCATTGACCTCTGATGTTCGATTAAGGAGGTAATCGTCAATTATGACAATGAATGTTACTGTTCGCAACTTGTATTTGTGCAAGCTTATCTTGAATGACACAACGCGATTCAGTTATCTGTCAAATATCCAATGTTCTAGATAGCTACCGCTACAAACCTTGTCCACATAGAATGTAAAATTCGGAAGTTTACGAAAATTGTAATGAATAACGTGAAATTCACGAAAAAGTCTATTCGCTAGTCCGTACTCACCCTGGTATTGTTTCTCTCCGCTTTGAGCTCGGAGATCTCTTCTTCCCTTTCTAGGAGCTGTTCTCGCGCTTGATTCAACTCCTTCGTGAGGGCCGCGAACTCCTGGTGACAACAGAACAAAGAAATTAAAGTCTGCCGCTCATATTATCGTGACTTTTTACCATGGTACATGGAAAACAGCCATATCAGGACTACGGCCAGTTCATTACATACTCGGCTGCTAAGCTTATTAATGAATATATATTTTCTACTAGCAGACCCGGCCACACGTTGCTGTGGCTAAGGTTTTTGTTTCTGAATAGCACGTGGCCGGCTATGCTAATACCAAAAATTAACAAATTAAGAACATATGGATTTCACTGTTCAGATTACGTTTACTACGAAATAAAATTCACTTATACTTTAGCCTCAGCAACACGTGGTGTTTATGCCATTAAATTGTAGCTTATGTGAAACGTTGGTATTTTTAACACAGCGTCATCTATGAGATATTAATGTCAGAAATGTCTGTAAAACTGATTTAAGGCGCCATCTGTTTTAGACTTAAAACTTAAAATTAATAACAATAATCAACATAAGAAATCATTTTATCGTTAATTAATAAATATTGCGGCCGTTGATCGAAATAATAACCATCTTATGGCCTAAGTTGGAACAAAACACACATTTAAAAAAAAGTTAAATTCGGTTCAGTAGTTTAGGTGTCCATCGCGGACAAACAGCGTGACACGTAATATATAATTATGTATTAAGATTTATTGCACCTTAATACCATGACTTTGTCAATCTAAAGATTTCCACGACCGATATTTCAAAATTATTAAAATCTTAATAATTTGGACCACATTGTCACAAAGGTAATTTACTATTTTATGATTAAAATACCGTTTTATATTTAAATCTCACGTTTTTTTCTTTTCATTTTACAAATTTGCGACAAGACTAGAACCATGTTTGTCGTCAGTGCCTACGGATACTGCAAAAGCGACTGATTATAATCAACGAACAACTTATTCATATAAGAAGTTTTAATCATATCTACGAATCGGCACCATGTAGACATAACTTATCGGCTTAAATACCGTTTCGATGCACAGAGCTGGAGCTGTCAGCAAAGTTGGCACCGGAAGAGGTCAGCGCATTGCCGCAAAATGAAACAACGAAATCTGCTCACATTTTGTCATGCGTGAAATGCGGGTCCGAAAAATCATAACAAAACAAAATAATTATTAAATTATCAGTAACGAGACTCAGATAACATTGAAAATGTACGCATTGCTTTTTGAGACGCCTTCGTAATGATGTAGATTTCGATTTGAAACCCGATAATTATCTCAAAGTGGATGGCGGCATTTATGTTATAGATTTTTTTTAAAAAAATTTATTACCTTTGTGGGCAGATGAGCATGGCCCACCTGATGGTAAGTAAAGCAGTAATGCGTTTCGGTTTGTGGGGCAGCCGTTGTAACTATACTCAGACCTTATAACTTTATATCTCAAGGTGGTTGGTGCATTTACGTTGTAGATGTCTATGGGCTCCGGCAACCACTTAACACCAGGTCGGCCGTGAGCTCGTCCACACATCTATGCAATAAAAAAAAAACCAAATACATTTAAGAGTACAATATGTATACATATTTATGTATCTATTAATAAGTTGCAAATGTATTATTTCAGCCTTTGTGAGCGTAACTTGAGTTATGATCAAGCGAAGGTACTCTCACTATTGGAAGTTTAACTTAAACTTCAACATTAGCAATGTCTAGACGGCGTTAAGCGAGATAAAAATCAATAAGTCAGCCTTAAATCCGAACCGCATTATGAATATCCTCCTCAAGCTTTGAAAGTTGTTAAAGCGTTTCTCTAAAAGCGTCTGCGTTAAGAGGTTAAAGCATTATGTAAATCTCTTTTCAAAGGATTATTCTCTAGGTTTTGTGACGTCTGTTCAGAGTTCTGCATTCTGATTCACATCCTTCCGTGTCTGCTTCAAGGTTCTACGTTAAATGGTCACATTGGAGTATATTCTGCAGAGGTTGTTATTTGTATTTTAATCTATTTGTGACTTAGTCAATAGCAGCCCCGGTACAGTTTTGCGAATATGCCAGGTAGTGATCCTATACCTTTAAAATGTACGTTAGGTTGCTATTTTTTTATGAGATGTTGCTAAGAAATAGAGAAGATAAATATAGTTTGAACGAATGTATTTAATTTAATTTAATTTATCTATATATAAAAATTAATTGCTGTTCGTTAGTCTCGCTAAAACTCGAGAACGGCTGGATCGATTTGCCTGATTTTGGTCTGGAATTATTCGTGGAAGTCCAGGGAAGGTTTAAAAGGTAAGAAAATATAAAAAATCTCGGAATTATATAAAAACAAACAATTTTGTTTTTCTATTGATGTGTCTTTTATTTATCGATTGAGGCACTGCGAAATCTGCCGAGTCAGCTAGTTGTTCATAAAAAAAAACCTACGGCTATGCTATTGAAGCATTGAAGTTATGTTAAAATTTAAAAACAAATACGTACCTTTTAGTTGAAACAAGTCCTGAGATCTAAGCGATCAGACCTTTTGTATATTGATGTGCGTTCGGATTGAAGTTTGGAAAGTTAGGACAATTATACAATACAGTTTGGAGTTGAACCTCTTATACTGCATGCCGACATGTTGGTGAGAACTAAACTCCCAGCATTTTGTATGCAAACAGTTTGCAATTAATATAATGACAATCAAAACGGGAGATTGTACTGTATAGCTAGTTATAATAATATCTAAGGATCGCGAAAATCGAAGATAATGAATGTTATGGTTTGTTCAGCAGGCGGCTACATACTACATACACACGTCGCTATAAACAGAACAATGGGTATGCAACAGCAGCCTTCTCAACCTAATAATATTCCTTTTATGTATTGCATATTGTGTTCATATCAATATCGCTAACAATTTTTCTAGCTTTAATAACCTCGGATTCACTTTTTAATTATTTACTTTTTATTGCTTATATGGGTGGACGAGCTCACAGCCCACCTGGTGTTACCTACCCGCGCGGGCTCACAAGAGGTCCTACCACCAATAATTACGCAAATTATAATTTTGTGGATTTCATTTTAATTACACGAAGTTATTCCTTCACCGTGGAAGTCAATCGTGAGCATTTGTTGAAAACGTATTTCATTAGAAAAATTGGTACTGATTAACCGATTATCGTGTATACTTACAAGTCTGTCTGGGTTTGTACTACCCACCTGCACATGACAGGCAATATGTTTGCAGGGTGGGATAGTCGTTATTTTAATTTAGGGCAGCGGAATTAGCATTGTGGTGTCTGCGGACTACCGTCTATTACCGGGAGGACGTATATTCATTCGCCCGCCTACAAATAAAAATAACAGGGTGGCAACGTAAACTGATACCCGATATCTGTTATTGTCCTAATTCCATTTGAGTTTATTGGTCAGGTTTTGAATCGAGCGGGTAAATTGCACCCCATCCTTACGACTAGGGATGGGTAAGCAATTGGTTTACTTGGATAATACATTTTTTTTACAAAAATGAAAATCGACTTCAACAAATTAAAAAAACTACTGGTCATTTTGATAATGTTGGACATGTGATTGTGGTCTATTTGGTGGTGCAGAAGCATTGACTATCAAACAAAAATCATCAAAATTGGTTCAACCAGAAAAAAAGTTCTAAGTTAACAAACACACATAAAAATCAATAGACACTAATGTAATGAAGAATATCAATGTTTTCCTTCACCTAAGTCGTTTATGAACCTATGCCATTTAACATACTTATTAAGAACAAACCTGCGAGTATAAAACATAGAAATAGTCGCTTCCATCGGTCAAGACCACTTAAAACTTGGTAGTAGCTTTAAAATATATCTGCAACATTGTTAACGAGACGTCTCATAAAACTAATAAGCCTTTCGATATATTACCCTATCGCCAGCCCTGTCACGCGGCAGGGCGCCGAGCCGGGCGGGGGTGCGGTATCGACGATTCTCTCGACTGTGTTGTTGTATCGCCCCTTTGTTAGGCAATAAAATGTATGATCGTTTCCGCGGTACAACGTGCACTTCCGTTTCACATGTAACACAATTAATACGACACTTTTCTCGGCACATGGTGGTATCTGAACGGGTAGACAGCGGCTTGGCTCCGCCCCTGACATTGCTGACGTCCATGGGCGACGGTCACCACTCACCATCAGGTGGGTTGCATGCTCGTCTTACAAGAGCAATAAAAGTCCATTATCTAGACTCAAGGTTTAGTTGATATATAAACCGTGCGTGGTCTTAGCTTTCTTCCAATATAGAGAAGAGCAGTTGTATTAATTTTAAATTCAATTTGCTGAAATCCATAGACATAAGGTTGATTGCCCACCTTGATATATGAAGTGGAAGTCCCACCAAAATAAGACGTTTAGATTGGAAAGCACAAGTTCTTCATGGTGTGAGCTATCAATTTGCTCTACTACGAACGAAACTATAGTGAACATAGGAAAAGGGTAAGAAACAGTTAATTAATGTGACTATCAATGTTACTATTGATGAGATAAAGTATACTATATAATAATATAGTAATATACTAACAGCAACTAGAGGTTACAGAACTCGCCTACCTGTTCTCTTTAAAATTAATAGGAAATATCGTTATCAATATAGGATATTGTTAAGTTTTACCGGTGATGGATAGTAATTATTATGTCTTATTTACGGGGTTCAGTAACAATTAAACTAAGACCAAAAAAAACGTGACAACATATACTATACGTATTGTATCTGTATTGCCAGGATATAAGCGGAAGGCTGCATGATATTGATCTCGCTAGCGGGAAGCAGCTCTGACCTAGTAAAATTAAATGAGGTTGAATAAAATACAATATTTTATAATAAAAAAAAAAAACGACATCAACAAAATAAAATAAAATAGGGATATCATTAATGTAGTCGAGGCCAATCAGATGTAAATTATTAAGGATAGCTAAACTTGAAGGGTACCTCGGTGAACAAATTCGTGCACTATGTAATAATACCTAGATTTATAAAAAAAATCTTCATCGACTGAAAGTGCACAAATGTTCACAGGAGA